AGAATCAAACCAGGGTCTTGGGACCATTGTTAACTATCTAAACCCAGCTGCCATTCTAAAATTGATTTCATATTATCACCGATGTATTTTGATATTTTCTCAAAGAAATAACATTTAAAAAATCAACACCTTACGGTGAAGAAAGTTACTAATTCATAATCGTCAAATCAATTCTAAATAAATAATATTTATTTCTTCTAAACCTGTTATATGAACAAGTGTATTTAAACTTAAATTAGGCCGATTGTGAAAATAGTACGAATGGACGTCTCAAATTCATGTTTGTTAAATCGGCTCCTCTGCAATTACCACTATCTAAGGGAGGTGCTTGTGCCCATTGGATAGAAATAAAATATTCGAAGGATTTAGGGTTAACCGGAGCACGGTATATCCAAAAAATATTTTTAAAGTGATAATTTCTTCGTGCTTTTTCTGGCAATGTGTTATTTTTTCAACCTTGAATCATTTAATGAGCGAGTTTTTAAAAAATTTAAAAAATCATTTTACCAGGAATGTATTCTGTCATGTTTGGAAAATACCTAAGCAATGGATTTCAGACAATTTTTCCATGAACATTTAAAATTAATATAATTTATATTAAATTTTTCCATATATTTTGTATATAAATTATAAATGACTCGCAATTCATGAGATAGGTATTCTAAACATGCTGGAATACATTTTCGGCAAAAATCAAAATTTTAAATTAAAAATAAACGCGCTCAATAAAACGATTTAAAGTTGATAAGAGTATAACACATTGAGGCTAACATATAGATATTATATACATATAATTATCAGAATATGTTCGAGCATTAATGTTCCCGACGCGATATATTCGGAGGAGGATACGCTGCTTCTAATATTTGACTCTTCGAGCGAGATATCAAATTATGGAGGAAAAGGATTTCGAGCAAGAGTCTCAATTGGTAAATCGAAAATTCATAATAATCATATTAACCTACCAACGCGCAGTAATTTTTATAGGCGAGGTAAAAATTATTAGGATAAACGTGAGATAATTTTAATCGGAGATCTGCATGATCCTTGGAAAATTTGAAGTGAAAAAATAAAATTAAACAGGGTGTAGTGTTAATAAACGGCCCAATTAAGATTTTAGCCAAAATAATATTATGTAAGCCTGGAAATTTAGCTTCTAGATGGGGTAGAAATGTTCGAACCTCTATTTGCCAAATCTCGAGGCTTACATAATTTTATTTAGGCTAAAATATTAATCAGGCCATTTTTAAAAATCTACTCAAACAATTTAACAAAACTACTTTGAATAATTCATAATTTTTTTAAAATAAATGCAAACAAGTCAATAATTTTTTTGTGAAGGGAAAATCATGATCTTGCATTGTTCAGGGTTAAATAAAATGCGAAATTTTGGCCGGCGCCGAAAAAATATTTTGAACAACCCGGTTAATTTGCTTAAGTTGTCCGGCTCGTATTTTTAGCCCAATCTTCTGGATGTTCTGAGCTGTATTAGATTTTTAATATCTAATTAGGGCCGACAAGATGGACTTTACTTAGGTGACAAATTCTCTACCTTCCCTTAAATTTTATTGGCTTTATTAAGCTTAGTATGGATTATATTTTTTTAAAATATATATAGATATATTTTCCTAAGACTTTTATTCCTACGGATGTTTTTGAGTCCTTTTAATCTCGTTATTATTTATAATATATTTTCTTTAATTTAAAAATCGTGAAATTTCGCATTATATTTTTGAAACACCAATCCAACATCAGATGGCCTATCTACTGTGTACTATAACACACATCAGGCTTTCGTCCAAATGTGAAATCTTTTTATTTAAATAAATTCACCATATGTGGCTTAGGCACCGGTTGTATTGATATAATCGAAACGGGCTGGTCCCTAATTCGAATAAGTATTTAAAAAAAATTAATATAAAGATTTAAAATAAAATTGACATGAACAAATATTAAACTATTCGATATTTTAAAAAACGTGGTTTTAGTTTGCGGGATCGACGTTGAAAGGATTCCAAAGCAAAATGTTTGCGATTGCGCACCCATTAAGGATAAATATCAGCCTGCACCGATATACCCAGAGGAAACATACAAACCCCCTAGGTTTCATCATGCTAAGAACAAGGATTGGATAAAAAAACCGAAATATAAACACCCGTATTACTCAAAAATTACAAGCAGACCAAATATTAAAAATAAAAATTATCGCATTAAAAGTCGTTGGAATAATCATTTTGAGAAACGTCATCGCCAAACCCAACCCCATTTACATTTAAATGATGAAAACAATGGGTTTAGCCCAATCGGATACCGAAACGCTTATGATCAATTAAGTCAAAACAACTTCGATTATGATTACAACACGAATGATTTTCGATTTCCATACTATCATCCAATAAATCCGTATAGACTAAGTAGATATCCATTGCATTTTGGGCCTTATCCGTTTTATTATCCGCATGACCGGGCATCTAACAGTATGCCCTTTTATAAGCCTTCAGATTTTAGATATAATCCTTACCAACCATACTATTTCCCTAATATGATACCGTTACCTATGTACCCGGAGATCAGTTATTATAATAGCAACGGACAAAATAATTACATTCACGATCCATCTTATAATGCATACTATTCTGAGAATAATAGAAAGTATGATGGAAATCCTTTGATTGATTACAGTAATTATATAAACACTTATGCTTTTAACAAAGTAACCAGCGCCAATTTTCTGCAATACCAATCGATAACCAATCCCAAATACACCGATAATTATAGCGATTTGGCGCCTTTTAAAAGGCAGTTAAGTACTACTTTGTCATCTGTCGGCATCATCCCAAATTTCGAGCTGATAGATTTCATTACTCACGACGAAAAGAAAGCCACGGTGACTTCCATCAACTCAAGGTATTACCATTCTCCAATCTCTAAAAACTTAAATAAATATCATAATAGTCGTGTTTTAGGTTTTGCGGAAAGTCAATTAGATGGTGTTTCAAATGACATTTTATATCCATTTTACGATGCGAATAATTTATATAATCACGCTAATACTGACACGGTTATACGAAATAAAAGTAACGTTGCAAAATATTTGACAAGAAATAACTTCATAAATTTAGTGATTGATGGAAACACCGACGGGCCTAAAGAGCTCAGGCATTTATTTAATCCTAACTCAATAGCATTAAGCATGCCATTAATATATAATTATAACTTGATAAAATCTCACAAAAACCCTCCACAACAAATGAGAATCGACGTAGTGGCGAAAAACCTCACACCCATCAATCAATTAGCGAAAAAATATCCAGGTTTCGTAAAATCTCCAAGGCTCAACTTTTCCTTGATACCATTGGGATATAGATCTACCCATACTAATAGAAGTAATAGAATCTAATAATTCCTAAAATTTCTAAGCAAAACTGAAAATTTTAATAGCTGAAAGTGAGGGGGTGGGAGAAGGGATGATTGAAAATTTATAATTTTTGACAAGTGAAGAATGATTTATGCAATCACTCATGCAAAATATTTTTTTTTTAAAAAAAAAACACGAATAATATCATTTAAGAAGCACAACCTTTAAAAAATTCCAGCAATGATACGCATATTTGGGAATCATGGACAAAATGGTCACCTTGTACCGAACCATGCGGAGGTTGTGGGTTTAAATATAGGAGGAAGAAATGTTATTCGTGTCCTAAAGCACATCTGTAAGTTCCATTGGCTGATTTTTATCATTAAAATTTATGATATAACATGATTTTTGCGTCAACTATTCGATTTCATGAGCTAATGTATTAATGCGGGCAAATTATGGGGCCAACCCGGGATGTATGTTACTGGGTGCAAAAAAAAATATCCAACAGCGAGGGTTAGATAATATTAAATAAATGGCATCATCTGGAATATCAGAGAGATTTTTAGATTTTGTGGTCATATATTTACTTTATAAAACAACAGCAATAAGTGAATGAATATTTAGCTTTAATTAGGCAATAGGTCTTTAGGGATGGGAGAATTAGCAATTATAAAAGAGATAATAATGTTAAGATATAAATTTTAAAAAAATATATAAAAATGAACAGACATTATATTTCTAAGCCTAAAATTACCTCCTTAGTCTTTGAGGAATTTCTTAATGATCATTCAATAAATAAAAAATATTCGACACGAGATTTCTATTAAATCTAATATATATAGCTCTCAAACCCAATATCTCCCGTGTAATTTAAAAATTTGCGATATTACAAAAGAATACTATTGTTGGCATCCTGTCCCAAAGTAATATTGAAAAATTAATGAATATTTTGTATTAAATGCCGAGAATTATCAATGTTATCAATTTTCAATTTTATATAACAGCCAGAGAATCTATGGAGAAAACTATATAAGAGGCCTATTCAAGGAATGTCTAAAACCGACTCCGTGTTGCAAAGGTTACTACACGAAGAACGTAACAAATTGTGTAAAAATTGACAATCAATGAAGCATATTCATATTTATAAATGATAATAAATTATTATTATTAGATTTATAATACTATTGTAAAATATGTATAGATGTTCTGGATTTGCGTATTTTGCAGCTATAACAGAACGGATTATTTATGTTGCTTAATAAATGAATAAGGATGTCCTTAAAGAGGACTGGAAGCTTATACTACTCTCTTTATAATATAGTGTCCAATATATATTCAAAAAATAATTTTATATATCATCAGTTTTCTTTTTAGTATTTAAAGTTACAAATTTGAAGATAAAGTAGTTCTTAATTAAATTGAACCCGTAATTAAGCGCTTGTCAAATTATTTTTTATATACAAGGGCTTTCAGTTCATATTTTAAGAAAATGATAAAATATGATTTTTTAAAAAATATTATATAACATTTACAAACTATGAATATATTTATTTTAATTAGATAATAATCTAGACTAATATATTATAATTTATGATAATCGGATGAATTTGAATACGTTACGAATATAATGTGACATGAGATCAATAATTCAACTACATACGTTCGTCAATTATCCTAAATCAGAAAACGCCAGTCAAAATTAGACATTTAACATTAACTCTTACAAGAAAATTTGTAAATAATAACACCGAGAGGGGTGGTCAGTGACAACAACACATAATTAGAGTCGAAAAGTGAGATATCCATTCCGGTAATGTATATGGCTCCGTGCTTCTCCATAGTTTCGAGCGGAATCGACTTGAATTCTTCCCTAAAATTTAGCTTTTTCGCGAAACAGGGTTCTTTGATATCCCACTCCCTGAGATTTCGTTCGGTATCTTCCAGGTAATAAAGCAGGACCCAGCCGCCCGAAGTGGCCAAACAAAGAAGACTACCCTTGAGGGTTAGAGTAACGATAGTGTCGTTTTGCACGTTGTAAGGGAGCTTGGAAGCGGCTCTGAATTGCCTGTAAGCTATTCCCGTTTCGTTTTGATCTTGCAAACTCATTTGGCTGATTTGAGTAGCTTGATTATATTGAGTTTGCATTGTTTGGGTAGACTTAGGAGCTGCGATAACGCTAACGGAAACGAGTAATTTAAGGTTGGCGGCCAGCACAGAGTTGGATTTAAAGGCAAAATTCCAAGGGGCGGCATAGTAGCAAGCACCAAATGGTAACGATTGTTGATAGGAATGAAAGCCCATGGTTAAGGAATGATAACACTCGAATCCTGTCAAGGCATAATTGCTACTGGAGGTGTAAAGGTCCTCACCAAAAGTAAGAGACCAGAGTTTAAGTTCTAGCGAGACGGAGGCCGTAGCCAGGGTACCGTTCCAGTAAGCCGTATGAACTATCTCGCTGCCATGTGCTCTAAGAAACCGCTCCATCCTAGCAGGAGCAAGTTCAGTTGGCCCTATTAAAGAGTTCAAAGAAGTATTGTTGCTAAGGGGAGATCGAGATTTCGGGCGGAATTGAGGTTGTTCCCAAATGCTTAAAAAACCGTTCCTAAAACCAACGCAAAAATAGTAAAGGGGGAGGAAAGGAGGTGCTTGACAGGGTCCAAGCAAACATAGAGTAGTCATGAAAGGGGCCTGACCCTCGACCGAACCAAATGGATGGGTTAAAGTGAAAGCCTGAATGGAATCGACTCGTTCCAAATCAACGGTGGAACAAACTTTTATAATGTTATCCTGGGCTATAGAAACCAAGATTAAAGGTTCAGGTGCATGAGCGTGATGATCGAAAATAAAAGGGTTCAGAATAATCATATCTCTAATAGCTCCGCTTTGATGCTTCACCAAAATGGCGGTACATTTCGTCTTAGTCACATGACTAGGATCATCATGACACTTAGTTATTTCGGGCTCAAATGGCGTACGATTAGTCGTGATTTCCCACTGGCATATTGCTCCAGATTCGTGCCCCGATATTAAATAGTTGTGATTGACTAGCGCTCTCGTGACATGATCTATTTGTTTAATTAGCCTAATTCGATCATCTAGAGGAGGATCAATGGATGGAATAGATTGGTTTTTAATAATAGGTTGCAGTGTTTTGTATTTCCATGATAGTAACTTTCGCTGAGAGTACCACGAAGCATAAAGAGTTTGCCAATAGAGGTTATATGTTTGAATAGAAGAGGATTCTTGCTCCATGTATCTGTAAAAACATTGTTTACAAAGAAGTTATGAGATAGTTGTGTATTAAACTTTTATAAAGATGCTATACCAAAAAATTTTATGAAGGTTACATTATATTAAAGTTAAGCTAAAACAATACCATAGCGTTCTAGCGCCTAATTAACAGATATCAAGCCAACGAGTGTTTCCTGTAGCAAGAATATGGTAATTTCTAGCGTTTGCAGATTAAAAATAAGATGGTCTGCTAACTAGTTTGACTGCATAACGCCCAATTTCTCAAAAGCTAGAATTCCCTGGTATACTCCAGCCAATAGAAAATTAAACAAAAGGATAGATAGTTAAACTTATATTACCTGACATAATAGTGGGTAAAAGGTAAAAAATAAAGCCTCCTTTCTTTAAAAAAATTCCTTCGGATCATTTAATAACTCATTATTCAAAAAACAAAATATCGAATCATATATGATATTCATGAGTCAATAATTCAAGGCACCGATCCAAACATCAAAAAAATTAATTATATAACTTTATCGAAAGCGTGAGATATCAGAGTTGTTAGGGCACTCTTTTTAAAAGGAGCTAACTCCCGCTCTTATAACTTGAAAAGATAGATATCGGAGTTAGAGATCTGCAAAGTTAGGCTTGGCCCGTACCTCGAGCCCTAATTATATTTTAAATAATCGGTTTCGGGCCGGGCCTAATATTTAAAAAAAATTTTGGACCAGGTCGGGTGGGACTTTGGAAATTTTTTTTAAATATATCTGTTATGGATGTTAGGATTTTAGATTGTCAACTCAAAAACAATATTGGCTTTGGTCAAGTCATCCACCGTGTTTATCCCAATCGTTACCAATACCCTAGGCATGTTCGGAAGTGATGCTCTCAATTAAATCATATAGGAAAAAAAATGAGGTAGATCTCAGGGGACTCCAATGAAATTTTACCTTCGTCAGCAGATTTCCCTGAAAATCTGCCGGTCCACTGGGGTGATTTGTACCCTTTTTTTAAACATTTTATTAAAAATTTTTTTTATCCCATTTCTCTTTTATACATACATATTTTTTAATTCATTTTTTATATATTATTAGTTTTTTTAATTATAATTCGTAAATGAAAAATTGGTGAAAATTTGTTATTTTATATAATAAAAAAAAATATGATAAAATAAAAATATATAAAAGCCTAAAAAAAAGGTAAATTATTTTTTTTTGTTTCCGCGGTTTATAAATTAGTTTATTTTATTTGTGTGTGAATATTAATAAAATAAAATAAAGAGTCCGAATTGTGAGTAACATTTTAAAAATTGTGTGTAATAAATCTTAAAATAAAAAAAATATACTTTCTTATAATGCCGATTCATTAAATTAACAAAATTAATTCCTATTGACCAAAGCCAATATTATTTTTGAGTTGACAATCAAATAAAATCCTTACATCCATAACACGCCCCCCCCCCATTAAAATAAGCGAAATCCTCCACCCTCACTATCGCCTAGAATTTCTTCTAATTCTTCATCCGTCATGAGGAAATTTAACATATTGTCCCATTCCTGGCTTCCTCCCAACTCTGGTACCCCCACCGGTTCTCTGAATATCTCCCATGAGTCGCGCCATTAGAAATGGGAATGAGGAGGCAGAATACAGAGTACGATCTCCGATTCGATTAGTAGCAGTGACAAATACTAGACCGATAGCTGAGATAGTAGGCCAGAGGGCGGACACGCTGCGACAAACTGGAAAATTACCAGAAGCGACCCCGCCATCTATAGTCGAATCGAGAGTAATGCAATGGCCCCTTATAGACATCTCTGGGGGAACATCGAACGGAAATCAGCAGGGGGAGACTATTATCGTAAACGTAGGGACCGGAGAGGCGCAGGAAATAGACCAGGACTCAAGGGAGGTATTCAGAGGACCGGTGGGGGTACCAGAGTTGGGAGGAAGCCAGGAATGGGACAATATGTTAGATTTCCTCATGACGAATGAAGAAGAAGAAATTCTAGTGAGGATGGAGGATTTGGCTTATCCTAATGGGGGGGGCGTGTTATGGATGTTAGGATTTTTGATTGTCAACTCAAAAACAATATTGGCTTTGGTCAAGTCATCCTATAGAAATTAATTCTGTTAATTTAATGAATCGGCATTATAGTAAAAGAAAGTATATTTTTTTTATTTTAAGAAAAAATTTATTATTAATAAATGAATATTTATTTTTAAAAAATAAATATATAAAAGCCTAAAAAAATGGTAAATTATTATTTTGTTTCCGCGGTTTATAAATTATTATACATTAGTTTATCTTATTTGTGTCTTGTGTGAATTATATTTTAATATTAATAAAATAAAATAAAATAGAGTCCTAATTGTGAGTAACATTTAAAAAATTGTGTAATAAATTTAAAAATAACTAAATTTGATTTTATTTATTGAAACTAAACGACATATTGAGTAACTATAAAAATTAATTTCTATATTTAAATAAATTCGGGCCGGGCCGGTAAATTTTTTTAAAAAAATTTCGGGTTCAGACCGGGCGGCAAAATTTTCATAAAAAAATTTAAATTCGGGCCGGGCCTGCCAAAACTTTTTTAAAAAAAATTTCGGGTCATATAAAGGGGTGCATAATGGGGCGCAGACTATGGTGAGATGGAGATAAAGGATACAAGAGTGTGGGCAAGGAATTAACGATACTGGATGATAGTGTAGGGTGGGATAGGGCTGCGGCATCCAGTAAACTGAGAGAAGTTGTGATGATAATGATTCATGCTGGGCATCAGGGAGTTGAAAGAATGAAACAGTGGGGCCACAATATGTATAGTGGCCAGGAATGAATGAAGAAATTTAAAGGCTGGATAGGCAATGTATAGTGTATCTGGGCTATACCCTTGAGGGATAAAAAGAGTACGTGACCGAAAGCGTCAGGCCGTGGGAAAGAGTACATGTGGATAAAGAGTATTTCCTCGTGGTAGATGCATAGTCCAAGTTGATGGAGTCTGAGGTTATGAGAGGATTGACCAGGCAAATTGTCAGAAAATTGAAAAATTTATGAGAAGATCGGAGTGGCAGGTGTTCGTGTCCGATGGAGGTTCGGCTTTTAGTAGTGAAGGGCTCACGAAACTTGTGCTGGCACAATCTTATAATCAGAGCTCGAATGGGCGGGGCGAGAGCATGGTGGGAGTGGTAAAGAGTTGGTTGAGGAAGGCAAAATATAGAGAAGGTGAGATATGGGTGTCGGTGGCTTATTATAATATTAGCCAGAAAGGAGGAGAGTTGTTGCCATCAGAAATGTTTTTGGAGTAGAACTTGGATTGGGTTGGATGTATTGAGGTCAGGAAATGAGAAGGGAGTGGAGATTGAACAAAAAAAATGATTGAAAGTTTGAAGTGGGTCAGACAGTGTGGGCAAGGTTGTATGGAAGTGAAAAGAAATGCGAGTGGAGAGTGGTGATAAAAAAAATGAGGAATGTTACACCGTATAAGATTTCCGGATAGGAGAATGGGGGTCAGACATGCTGAATAGCTGAGAAGTGGAATGGAATCAGGAGGTAAAGGTTGGAGATGATATGGCAGTGAATGGCCTGGGATATAATAGAACAGAGGCGGTCGTGGTCCGAAGCTGTGGGGCTAGAGGTGAAAGCACAGTTAGTGACCTGTAGTTATAAAAAATTCTTTGTTGCTGACTAGCTGAGGAGGGGAATAGAACCAGGTCGGTGGTGGTCCAGAGGAGAAAGGGCTGTGAATGGCCCGGAGTTATCGCTTTCCCAATAAATTTAACGAGATTTTAGATGGATAATATAACTTCCCCTTTGAGCCGAATAGTGGAGACAGTGGGTTTGGTTTGGAGAGAAGAAATAGAACGGGAATGGAGGCAGCTGTTTGATGTTTTAAGTGTGGGATGGAAAGGTATTTTAGGAGGGAATGTCAGCAGATGGGGTTACTATGAAGAATAGCTGAGGTCATCGTAGGTACTAGGAGTGAGAGCCTTGGCATCGTGGAGGTTCTGGGCATGAGGAGTTCCTGCTGAAAATAGATGCCCAGGTACTCGAGGAATTATTCCGACCATAGGACACAGGATCCCTCCCCCCACCAGCAAGAGACTTGGGATTGGGAAGGGTGTGCTTTTTTAAAATCTTTATCATGTTTTTGCTTATGCGCAATTTGGTTTTATTGATCATAAGACTCATGGTGAGTCTTGTTATATTATTTGAAGCCATAAAAAATATAAATTTTCATCTGATAAACCACTATGCCTTCCCCTGCAAAACCTGTTTAATAATACTAAAAAAATCACACAACAGGATTACTAAAATGAAGAGGGGTATATTTGGAGGTGAAAAGCAAGGGAAAATTTCCTTCTGCCCTTAAAAGCTTGCCTGTTTTTGCAGGTATCCTCAGCTATAATAAAAAAAAATTCCCCACCCTCACTTCCCACAAAAGTGTATATAATATATCACTATATACAAAAATTTGAAAGTAAAATAAGCAAAAGTTAATAATTTTTTTAAATAATGATGATAAAATTTATAGAAATAAAAGGTGGAAAATCAAAACTTTAAAAAAGTACCATTGCTTGCATTAAATGAACTTAAAGATCTCCTATAAAATCTATGGTTAAACTTAATTATCACCCCTCTCTACCCAGCAAAATACTTGCTACATATGATTTGTTGATGTCTTAAAAATATAACCTTAAAACAATTTAAATCATCCTGCTAGATTTTAAAAAAATCCTAAAATATAATTTTATTTTCATTCAGATGATAATCAAATCTCTAAAAACAAAGCAGTTTTATTGATTTTTTTAAATTAATTTAACTTTATAAAAATGTTAATTTAAATTAAAGAGGCAGGAGTAAAAAAAATAAAAAATTTATAAAGCTTTATTTTTGATGACCTCTATTATAGAGCTAATATTTAATTTTTAACTTTAATATTCAAATAAAAACATATAAAAATAATTTTTATGAAAATTAAAAGGGGTTAAAGTTAAAAAAAATAGGCAGATTGTTGATTTATGTATGGGAACATGGCTGTTTCAAGAACTTAAACTGGTTAATCTTTTTCTATATTGATATATGATTGTGAAATTTCCAAAACCGAATTTTATAAATCAGATATAAATTTAATAGGGAATTAAACTTCTTGGCATTTTATACAATATTTTATAGAAAATTTGACAAATTGTGTATTTTGGCAAATATTATTAAAATGTTTTAAGAATAAATATATATTTTTAAATTAAATAAAAATATTAGTTTTCAAATATATATGATTTAATTTAGGGCAATATATAATAAAAACATTTAATAAATATATAATAATTATTGGTTTATATATTAAAGTTTAAAATAGGTACTTGATTTCATATGGATACACAAATTCAATCATAAAATTTTTGTCAATCTCATTATAACATTTGTTTTTCCAAATTTCAGATAAGTTCCCCATCATTATTTTATACAATTTATTAAAGGTTTTTGATAAAAATTGTATTCTAGAGAATGATAGGCCATCCAATACATTAAATATTATAACTTGTATTTCATAAGGTAAAAGACTCAATTTATTATCACAAACAGGTGTTATCATTTTTTTAATGTCAAAATATAGACATATTTTCACAAAAATAGCTAAATATTACAAAAATTTAATAATAAATTGTTTCTATATATTTAATTTATATGAATAGATCTGTGGCTACGGAACAATTAATATCTTTTTAAACCTTCATGGAATAAGTGATAATAAGCAGGCTCCAGTAATTCATAAATGTTATTACTCAAAAATTATTACTATATTTTAGTCTGGATTCTTTAGTAGCTTAATATTATCAGGTAAAGTATTTATTTTATTCTGTTGTTCTTGAGTTATAAAAGGTTTTTGTGCCTGGTAATACCCCACCTTGTCATTCGTGCAACTTTTTATCTGCAGCATATATAAACATAAATAGACATTTTATATAGATCATTTTTATTAATAAAAAATATTAATATTTAAACCTTTGATCAATATTTCAAATCATCAATTTTATTAAAATTTTTTTTATATCATATGACATTTTAAAATAATTTGTTCGCTTTTTTGACTCTTTTGACAAATTTTAAATTATAGCATATCTGAAGGAGGGGGAGGGGATTCCACTTAGACATTCGAGTTATTTTTTTACCTGTGCTATAAATAAAGGGCATTAGTCAAATCATACAAAATATTAGTATTTGTAGCTGAGCTGAATTTGTCTATATTGAGTTACACTTTATTCTCAAATACTAAATTCCAAAATTGATTGTTAGATTTTAAGTTATTTAAATAATGGAGATTGATAATATACTTGATAATCAGTTTTAACTTATCCAGTTTCTATAATACATTTTTTTTCCAGATACCGTTGTTAGGGCTAAAGTTAGTATGAAAATGATTAATTTCTTTTTTCAAATTTTGAGGCTGTTATTCTTTTTCGAGAGTCAGTTTCTTTGTATTAAATTTATAGGTAAAAATTTTTTAATAAATTATCAGCAATACAATACAATTCATATTAAAAAATTTTTAAAAAAGAGTTAATATATATTTTTTAAAAAATCACTTAACTTTGTACGCACATTTAGCATGATTTTCTATTTATTTATTTAAAAATTAAGCAATTTTATATTTGTTCCCGGTGCATTATCAACGTTGTAATGATAACTTATTTATTTAAATGGCCCTTATTTTTTAAAATAGAATTAGTATAAAAATTACAAGGATAGCAATGTATCCCTTACTTCTATGAACGCTTAGTCACTAAAAGATAGCTTCTTGACTATACTTTTAAAATTTATAAAAACAGTTAATAATCATATCAATAACTTAATTAACCTTAAAAGATCAAAGGAAATAATTTAATTTTACTTATATTTTTTTATATAACTACATTGGGTAATATTATATTATATGAAAACAAATCGGTATATTTTATTTAAAATAGAGTAGAAGTTGTCTAATTTCGGTTCTTGATAATTCGGGCTGCTCCTTAATTTAAAAATTTTAAATCCTAATTAAATTGCTATCATTTACTATTAGAATACAAAAGGTTAAAAAATTGGGCACTGCCCTTTATTAGCCACAATTTATCAAATCTTTAACAACTCTCTCTATGCCTCATTTGGGGGTGGAGGGAGAACAAGAAATTTGGGCATTCTCATAAAAAATAATAATCATATAATATATTTAAGCATAGGCTACATCCTTCCCCTACATTATAATTGATGGCATAATTAAAAATAAATTATTATATAATTTATTTTAAGAACAGATAAGTAATATTTAAACGATATTTATAATTTATATAGGAGACTAAGGCCATTTTACATTCTTCCAAACGTCCTTTTTTGACCAATTGGGATTTCCTCTCATTAGAATATGTATAATTATTATAATTCAATATTTTAAAATAAAATTGGGTACACGAGCAAACGCTTCTCTTCTAATGTTCGTAAATGAAACAAATTTCATTCATGTTATATCCAGCTTTTTATAATTAATCAAAATCAATAGATGTTTTAAAAGTTATTCGCCGTAAATACGCTTCTTAATAATATAAGAGAGAATATGGTCAAAAGTCAAAATGTGTAATAGTGCTTAATGGTATAAAATATCTGGATAGTAAATATAAAAAAATTTATATTTTCAATAAAATAAAATCATATTTTTATTTGTAAACACTAAATACCTTATTTTTAAATTTAATGTCACAAAAAATTGAATTAATAAAATATAAAAAATAAAAACAACTTTATTTTCTTTTAATAATTTTTTAAAAAAATATGAAACAACTTGAAACATACTTAAAAATATCACGCTACTTTGTAAATTCTAGGAATTTTTTTTGTTTACGAATTTTTAAAAATTAAATAATAAATATTTCAGCGATGTTTTAATACAAAAATAAAAAACCAGGGAAGGTAAATTTTGATCAGTTTTTCAAAATAAGTCTCCGAATAAGGAAGAAATAGTAAAATAAAAATTTTTCCTTACATCAGGGCAAGGCAGGTAGAAAGAAATAAATATAAAAAAATTGTCCTGGCATATAAAAAGATAAATTATATATATTTTCTCACTCTTTATGCTTCCTTTTTTTTCTAGCTTTATATATTTATTTTTTTATATTCCATTTTAATAATTCTATTTACAAATGTATAAATGTTATGGGTATGCTAGTGTTGTTAAACGGCTTGTTTTGAGCCGACAGCTAACTCAATATTTTAGCCAGAAAAATATTGCTTAAGCCTTGAGATTTCGCTAATAGATGTCCAAACTTTTGTTCCTTCTACAAACAAAATCTTCAAGCTTGCGTAATATTATTCTGGATGAAATATTGAGTTAGCCGTTTTTAAAATTCGGCTCAAAACGAGCCATTTAACAACACCATGTATGACTTTGGAACAAAAACCTATCAATTGATGGATGTTGTAATTAGATAAATATATAAAAAAGACCGCTAGATATTGATATCTTGTTTGAGGAGATTATGCTCTCTATTTATCTCTTAAATTATCACAATTAATTCTCTTGTGATTTATTATAAGTTATTTTGTTTATCCCATTCAAATTACTTTTTCTGAAATTCCCACTTTTAATTTAAAATAAAACATATTATTTTATTTTCGAAATTTTAACATTTATTTATAATCAAATCCAAAAAATCATAATTTTTTTTATATAATTAGCAAGAAAATAAATATATTTTATTTATGGATCCTATACCCCTGAATATAATATATATTGTCAATATTTTTTTAGTGTATAGTCTGAACCCCGGGTCTGTGCTCAGAGCAGGCTTGAGCACAAAATTGGGTCGTAAATTTTACGACCAAGCAAATTAACAATACTACTTTGACCCCTTCACTTAAAAGGTTCCAAGTCTGGTGCAGCCAGAATATCAGGGTTAACATCCTTGGTAATAATCATAAATAAGCTTTAGGCGGTGTCCTTAATATATTTAAAAAAAACTCAAAATTTACAAATTTTCGCAAATAAATAAAATTATAAACATGTCCAAAATCTTTAATTCGTTTTTTTTAAAAAAGTTTTGCAAAAATTAAAATAAAAAAACGGGAAAAAAAAACAAGAATAAAATATGAAAAATATCAATGCCACCTAATACTTTAAATATTACTTACTAAAAATAATAAATTTTTGTAAATGACGAAAAATATTTTGGAATAGTATATTTTATTTTTACATTAAAAATAACTTATGTAATTTTTTGTTTTTAAATTAATAGATTTATTTATTTATATTTTTGATAATTAAGACACAGCAAAATAATTCTCCAAATATCGAAGACCCAAAGGATTATTTTAACAATTTACTGCGCATTTTTAAATTTCAAGGAATGTCACCCCTTAGCGTCGGTGGCCCACTTGACTTGATGGCAGAATATCATTAATAGAATATATAATTTATCATTAAAAAAAATAAGCGATTGGGAGGTTGATTAAGACAATATGCAAAAATATTGTCTAGCAAATCTTTATTAAAATTATAATTCTATATAATATGCATCACAAAATGTTATATTGTTATTTATTAAATTATAAAATTTGTAAATAAATAAATAACTTATAAAATTCAAATATATCGTATAGAAAAAGATTAAAAATTGATATATAAAAAATATTCCATAATTTATATATATAAAAAAATATTAATACTTATATATAAATAACATTTTAATTGAAAATAGATTTCGATATTTACTATATTCAAATTCGTGGCATTTTAAGTGATATCGCAGTTATGAGTATATTGATTGCATGATAAATATATGATATAAAAGAAATTATATTTTTTTAACCTTTGAGAGCATTCGGGACATATAGAGAGCCTAGAGTTTAAAAAATAAGTTACTTAAAATAGGAGAGGTACAACAGTCTGGATTTTTCAGTAGCCTTATAATTTTGGCTAAACAACATGCATTCAAAATTTTTGAGTGCTTTTTTTTGGGGGGGGGGGGATATCTAAAATTTTTAGTGAATTTTGATGAGCTTAACATTTTTTGTAAAAAAAATGCTTATAATTCAATATAAATGGGTATTTTTGGCTAGAAATCGTTTCAATTTGTTCATAAATATAAATGATAAAAAAATAAAGAGTATTATTGATGTTAAAAATAATATGGAATAAAAAAAAATTGATAAAATAGTTATTTGGGTCGAATTTATAATAAATAATTATCATATTAGATAGATGAATTTTTAAAAAAATATATATTTTATAAATATTATGGATGAAAAAATAAATTAATGCCTGAGCCTTACCCCATAAATGCTCTCGCGTTACTTTTTTTCTTCAAAGAATACTCTCAAGGATTAAAATGTATCTAATTCGGATCGATAATTAATTATGTATCACTATCATGTTTCCAGTTTAAAGCTAAGTCCCGATTATAAAGCGTAGTATACTATTTTATTTTTTTTAAAAAAAATGGTTTTTAAGTGGGACGCGGAATAGGGCGAATGAGAAAATATCTAAATGACGAGACGCTACAGCTAATTTGCGAATTTTTATGGCGCCCTTTTTTTTCGCTGTCGCAGGGAAAGGGGAGCAATGGTAATCCTTTGCTAACGTGATAATCGACGAGTTCTTTGATCCCACCGTCGAAGATTTTGTTGGCGGATCTGACGATACCCGTTTCGGGGTCCACTAACAAAAAATGCTTAACCACCGATGACCGAACCTGCGCTTGCTTGGTGTTTTTGTCCGATTCCTCGTGATGGATATCCATGGTTTCACTCGATTTCATGCCGACACACGACAAAACAAACTGCCATTGGCACAGCGCACTTCGTCTGACCAAAAAATCGCCGGGAGATTTCAAAAGATGTTCACTCACAATTCGATTGGTTGCGATGGAATGGTACCAAGGTTGGTTTAGGATTGGCATCTCAAAGATTTCCGGATCTTTATATAAAATTTCATTATTTTTTTTAAAAAAAACGCATAATATAAAACATAAATTCTAAAAATTATTTTTCTTTTTACCAAACGTTGTTTTTGAGCGAGCATTAAGTTCTCGATCGAATTCCAGAGTATTTAATTCGTTTAAATTTAGTGCCTGAGCCATAAAATTCTTATTTTTCTAATAAAATATATATAGTATTAAAAACATCGGAAATTAACTTTTAGTTATACCTCAACGGGTGAAACGTCAATCAAATTTCCTAGTAAACGTATCGTGTCTTGTTTAAATTGTAAACTAAATAGAGATTAAATAAATGTAATATTGGTTAATAAATTCTCTTAAACTAAAATATTCCGATTTTACGAATAGATTATTTTTTAAATTATTCGAAAAATAATATTTATGATATTTAATCTAGAATATTCAAATAAATTATTCGTAATATATTTGAATATTATTCATTCATCCAATTCGTTTGTAATGAATATCAGATTTGAAAGAAAAACGGCCAAACTGAATTCTGAGCAAAAAACTCAACTTCCAAGTTTTAAGTCCGAAAAGATAACCCAGCCTTAGAGATAGCGACGGGGGGGGGGGTCAAATCTTATCTCAAGGCACGGTAGATTTATTAAGGTATGCGTCAAAAACACAATAATTAGAGATATTTTTATTACGTATATTTGGCGTGTCAAAATCAACTTCAAATAGTCGAATTGAACAGTTTTAAAAGGATACAAGTTTAAAGAGTCTCCCTTCCCCCACCCATCTGGATTAAAAAATAATTCTCTCACCAGAGAGAAAAAAATATTTTAGTATAGCAATCAGTTTTGCATATCATAAATTTATTTTTGTTATAGTGAAATTTAATATGATATATAGTGGGCTAAGCGTATAAACTTATACTTGTATTAAGGCACAGGAAAATTCTGATCATCATTTTTAAAAAAACAAATTATTCTTTAAGGGCTATAACTTAATTAAATAAGATATTATCTATTCTATATCTTACAAATACCAACTTTTATCTAAAAATTTATTTACAGATATGACATTTTTATAATTTTAAAAAAGCTACGAGGGAGTACAACTTATTACCAGTGACATACGAGTCAGGTTTGGCTCATATTTTAATTTTATAAAATATACCCGCGCCAGGCATAAATTTTTTTAAAATAATACCCAAGCCAAACCAAATATTTCAAATCACCATTATTATATATATAAATTAAAAATAATTAGAACATATTTTAAAAAAATCAAGGATGGGCAGAGCCAAAAAATTTTTTAAATCCATGCAGGCCAAGCAAATGGTACCTCAACAGGCCTCTGTTTATTACTAAACAGCCAGATACATCTTAGACTAAGCAGACTAAATAGTAAGATAGAAAAAAAAGATAAAAAACCATAACCAATGCTGCCAAACACCTAAAACAAGCTTAAATAGGTTGTCCCAGTTCAAAAGATGTTTAGCCTGAGGTTAATAGAAATAAGTATCAAAAATAAGTCAAACCAGTCACACCCTGTAACTTTTTTTTAATTTTAAAGGCAGTTATAAGTGAATATTCTGATTAAAACACTTTAAAAATAATATATACATATTATTTATTATTCTTTACCTAATAGTATATAAAATAATGACAAAAAAAATCAATGTAAACATTGGTATCAGAGTTGTTTAGGATAAATAATGGCAACTTTAGGATTGGTAAAAAAATTGTGGATTAGTGCAGCCCTAACTATAATTATTGGCTCTGCTTCCAGTTCAAAAGTAGTTCTGGTTGGAATTTTTTTCACAGTAGTGAGGGTTCTAAGTTCTAGCTCCCTCAGTTTGGTTAATAAGCACTGTAATAAATTTAAGTGATTAATCCTCCCCTCTATAATTAATCGGAACATTTTCTTTGGTATCTGATATATTGTATTGGTATTGTAAGCGAGCTCCAGATACATACAATATATAAATCATTTGCTCATATTAGAACTAGTTGTAATATTAAAATTTCTGGTTTCCAAATTTAAATTATTGTGATACTTTATCTATTGTTTTCTCTATATAAAAGAATTTCTGCATAACTTTTAAAATTTTATGTAGTATTATCAAAATACATTTCCTATAAATATTTTTTTCTTTTAAAAATTTAATCTTACATAATTAAAATTATATTTCAAAAAATTTTTAAGATGATAAATTCCAAATACCATATTTCACATCTTTGATAATTTTTTATATTATTTACCTGGAGCATTAAACATTATTATCTCAAATTCATTTTTTACAAGAGTTATTCAGATTTTATTTTCTTATTTGTAAAGATTTATTTCAATATAAATATTGTTAATAAGTCAACTGTTTCTGAATTTTGATTTTCCAGATTTATTTTTGCTATAAATGGTTCCCAAACTGTGATTTTTGTTAATATCTTTGTAACTTAAAAGTGGTTAACAAAATACAAATTTTACTTATTTAAAATAACATTTATTTTATAAAAAAATGTATTAAATTTATTGACTAATAGTTAACCCCCTATTGCACCTTGTAAACCGGAGGCAACACATCAAATATTTTAATATATATATTTCAATAAATGATTTGATGTTCCAATAAGCATTGTGTATTTCAGTTGATAATGTAAAATACATAGGAATCCTAAAAAAAAATTTCATGATAGCTTGCAATAGAGGGTTAATGCTATATATTTGTATGGGTACTCGATTTGATCTTGAACATTGTTTGTCCCACTAACAAATATATTGAGATTGTTTTGATTAATATTGAGATTTTGTTGTTTGCCCTTTCTCCTATTTATTAGCCTATTTGCATTTTTCTTTGTCTTAACAATATCAAATTGTATGATAAATATTTTGCCCATTACATTTATTATTTCATTAGATTTTTCAGAACACTCTGCTTTCAGCACATAACATTTACGAATGTTATCATTAGGATCTTTGGCTATATAAGCAAAATAATCCTTTAGATCCTAATTTTTATTTAAAATTAATATATACTTATGTTATATATTTAATTACATTTACTCCAGTAGAGGAAAATGAAATATAACTTGGTGATACTTGTGATATGATCTGATTATTGTCATTTAATTTTAATATGATTTCATGGCAATTCATATGTAATGTAACATCTTCATTAAAATGGTCTAAATTTAGTTGTTGATCTAATTTTTTCACATTAGATATAACAAATTGCTAAATAAAAATGTATAATTAAATTTTAGATATAAAATATTTAAACCTTGAGATTCATTGTATTTTTAGAAATATTATTCTCACTAATTTTTTTTATAGAATTTCTAAAGGTGTAATTAATAATAGAATTTATTAGTTAATACTAACAAAGTTAATTGAATTTTGGTTGAGGGTTCAAGCTTTGATATAGGCGTTTTAATAATTTGATATCCATAATACTAACAGATAAAATATAATAACACGCTATAAAAAATTATACTTTAACAGGATAATTAATCCCTTTATAAAATTTATCACATTCCATATAATAACAAAAATTAAAAAAAGGGTGTTGTTTAAGTTATGTCAGGCATGTCCTCTAACATCGAATTATCTGATTAACGAATTTTATTATTGGATGAAAATCTTAGAAGGATAACGGTGACTAAGCTTTATATATTTATTTTTTTAAAACTACGATAAGCTCTAATTTCTTTAAAATAAAATAATAATATTTTTTGGATCATATATTTTATATGGTTGAACTGAATTACCTATACTATTGTAAAAAGCCCGATGCGGGTCGTCGATTTTAAAAAACGTCCCGATTATAGTTATAACCAAAATATTATTATGTAACCCTGGAAATTTCGCTCATAACTGGCAAGGCTTATATAATATTATTTTCTTAGTCGGCCCAGACTTTATAAAACATCATTATGAACAATAATTATAATCATTAAGTTCAGGCAAATATTTAATGATTTGTTTCAATTTTTGAAACGGCCAAATTAAATTTTAGCCAAATTAATATTATGTCTTGATGTAGAAAATAGAGGTCAAAATCTTTTTTCATCTATATCTCCTGGCTAAATAGTATTAAAGAGTGTTTTGGTTAATGATACTTACTACCAAGTGAATGTATGGCAATATTTTAAATACCAATCTAATTTGCTAAATACCGACCAAAATTTATTAAAATGTAATAAGACCCTTATTATTTAATATATTAATACGGAATCACGTGGTCGAGTCCGGCCTTCTATATATCATCCCCCCAAGGATGGAACCACCAAGTTAGAATAAGAAAAAAAACATAATCATTCCCGGGATTCGAACCCGGGAGCATAGGATAAGTAAGCCAAGCTCTTGCCTACTAGGCCATAGAGGCTTTCCAAAAATTACGATTTTTCAAATATATATTATAAATTTATTTGGTAGTGCCTATCCAAATGAAAAATGAACAAAATTCAAATTTGATAGATGGTACCTTAAGGTACCAAGCATCATTAACCTAGTGTTTTAGTATCGAAATGCACCGAATGCAAAAAAGAACCTTCTATCGATCAAATCCTGCACAGGGATGCGCTTGAATCACAAAAAAAGGAAGATATTATTTTCAAAAACCTCTATATCAAACCATAAATATTACAAACCATATCCCATAACACAAAACAAACCATAATTTCATAATAATAAGACTCAAATTTATTTATTAAAAACATCAACAACAATCTCTATACATTAACACAAAAAAATATACCAAAATTTAATATAAATATTATCCATTTCTTCATCTCCCAAAGGTTCACAGTTGACATCTTATTCAATAATTTCCCATCTCCCACTAGGGGTTTTTCCTAACAATGAAATACACCCCGTGATCATCATCTCCTCTTCTTCCCCCAAGGAAAACTTAATTCCCCTGTCAGAAAATAACTGACATTTCATGTATTATATTAAATTTATTTCTTCTTTTTTCAACAATTACAACACGCCCACCCTTCACAAGCCCAGCGTCCCTCTCTCTGTGGTGGTGTTGTATCGAATCACCTCTTTGAATTGTATCGAATCACCCCTTTGAATTGTATCGAATCACCTTTTTGAATTGTATCAAGACGCCTTGAAGACGTTCAGGGAATCTGTCGAATCAACTTCCCTTATAATGATTTATAATATAATAATTCCAGTACATTTCAATATAAAATCGCCAAAACAGACATTATCAATAATGACATGTACATTGGGGTATCTGCATTTATAATCTACGGAACATTAATATGGACAATGTAATATCCGCAAAACATAATAATTTATTCATTTTAAGACATTTGGGAACTACTAGCTATAATATACATTATTAGGGTATGATTCATGGTAATTAGGAAATAATGATCTTACATATAATAATGTAATGTGAAAACATTGTCTAAGTGTGAAATGCAATTTCAACACATGTAATTTTCCTTCTATCATGTGAAAAAAAACAAAGCTACATCTTTATAAATATTTCCTAAAATGAATATAAAAATCCATCTTTAGGTATTAAAATTAATTGCGAAACTTGGCCGAACAAAGATTATAAATAAAATTACAATACATACGTATATAAATACATTTAATATTATATATGAAGGAACAAATATATAATATGTAGAAAATACAATATTTTCCATCTAGGAATTACTCAGTATCCTAAGAAAAATATACCATTTCTACCTAACTCTGTCATCACAATTAGCACAAATTCACAAAAATGTAGAATGCAAAGTAACAAAAATTGATAATATAATGAGCTATATGGTATATATGTAAAGAATTTTTAATATACCTTCACATTATAAAATAATTTGAGTCTTTTCTTTAAAAATATGTTCATAATTAAATAGTAAAATGTGATGTGTTATAAAATTATTAAAAAGATAAAAAAAATGTATTATGCAGCATAAATTTACAAAAAAAAACTTTCCCCAGTATGCAAACTAAACAATATTTTCACCTCAAGGCATACCCCTCAACACGGGCTGACCTTATCTGTAAAAATATTTTCCCTTCACATCATTGCATACCACACAAATAATATAATAATTGCAAATAAAACTTCTTATAAAAATTTATAATTTAAAAAAAAATATATATATTAAATATAAAGATTTCATAATTTGAAAAAAAAAATATTATACACCATCTAATGTATCATATAAATTCCTATCCAATTTATATATACACTAAATGCAGACACTAAATCAAAATAACTATCCACATCTAACATTATAGATATTATTCTGACTTCATCATACTTCAATTCCTTCAAATTCTCATTCATAATTAAATATATCATATGTTACCTATACAATATATTAACATTATAAATAATAATTCATAGTTAAATATATCATATGTTACCTATGCAATATATTAACATTAATTAATAATAAATTATCCAATTTATATATACACTAAATGCAGACACTAAATCAAAATAACTATCCACATCTAACATTATAGATATTATTCTGACTTCATCATACTTCAATTCCTTCAAATTCTCATTCATAATTAAATATATCATATGTTACCTATACAATATATTAACATTATAAATAATAATTCATAGTTAAATATATCATATGTTACCTATGCAATATATTAACATTAATAATAAATTATCCCATACATATTCATCCCTTTACAAACCCAAAATGCATAATTAAATAATACACACTTTATTACAAAAGTCTATATCCATATATATTTTCATAAATTTCACATATTTAAATATTTAACAATCCTTTCTGTCCTGCTGTTCATGAGGTCTTTCAGCTTCCTATGACGGAATACCTATAACACCATTCAATGAGTTTTAAGGCATCCCAAATAATGATCAAAATTAGATGTACCATATACATCTAGACATAAGATAATATACCAAATATTACTGTCTTAAATTCCTGATCTTATTTCCATATTTCTGCCTAATACTCATTACCTACTTTCAATCTTACATTTTTTACAAGTTAAATATAAAAGTATAGAAATTTTTAAACTCACGTATCTGTATAGTTTTTAGTACATTGCATGGTTAAAATTTTTCATATAATATTTATACAAAAATTTTGTTTTTACCTTTAAAATACCGAATAACCCTGGAATCGAAACTATCCTGGTCACGGCACCAATTTCAAAAACCTCTATATCAAACCATAAATATTACAAACCATAACCCATAACACAAAACAAACCATAATTTCATAATAATAAGACTCAAATTTATTTATTAAAAACATCAACAACAATCTCTATACATTAACACAAAAAAATATACCAAAATTTAATATAATTATTATCCATTTCTTCATCTCCCAAAGGTTCACAGCTGACATCTTATTCAATATTTTCCCATCTCCCACTAGGGGTTTTTCCTAACAATGAAATACACCCCGTGATTATCATCTCCTCTTCTTCGCCCAAGGAAAACTTAATTCCCCTGTCAGAAAATAACTGACATTTTATGTATTATATTAAATTTATTTCTTCTTTTTTCAACAATTACAACAATTATAATTGGGAAAGTCATCACCCGACAGAATAATATATGCCGACGATAAAGATAACCGCAAAAGAACATTAAGAAAACATCTTTATCTAATCAAATCTAGGTTATCAAACAATTATTAAACGTTAAAATATAATAAACAAGCCACTACAAACATGGCTCGGACAAGGATATGAGCCATTGACAGCAATCCTTTATAGATAGGGAGAAGTCAACAACAAGGATTAAGTCTTGAATAATATTTCCAAAAAACTCAAGACTTATCTGAATCAAGCAAATGTCCAAACATTTTAAAGATTACGTTATGTACTTAACTGATGCATAAATTGGTGACGCCTTGAGACGTATATGAAAAATAATATATAAAATAATTTAAGCTTATGTCTATAAGAACACAGCGATGGTTCTCTTAGAGAGTAAAAGGTTTAGATCACGCGTTACTTTTTATCGTTGAAATAATTTACCTCAATTAACATTAACCATTGTTTGATTTAAATTGATGTTATGACCTCAGTGAATATTACATAGAATATTGATATATATTATTAAGGTTGGTAATAAATGAGAAAAACAGATACGTAGGTTTATTTAATAAATTTATTTTAAAAATATATTTTAACTGATAAGTACAATAATTTTCTAAGTTTATATAGTTTACAAAATCTATCAAGTAATATATGTCGAATTATTGAGTTAATTTTATAAAACGAGTCCGCTAGGTTAAGTTAATATAATATAAAGAATAAAAAAAAATCAATCTTTTATTTAATAGATCGCGATTAGTGATCAATTCGAACATCACAACATTTCACCCCTTAAGAAACAAACTCCGCTCAAATTCTTCTTGTACGTGAATTTCTTATGTTCAAAATATAATCTTGATATCATGTGGGTAATGTTCTATTCCGGCTAGGCCTCGTAATGTCGGCTGTGCAATCTTTCTTGTTCAGTAACATTTCTCTTCTTGTAAAATGTAATCGTTGGTAAAGTATTTGGGTCATGAATTGATACTTCGTCCGTGGTAAATCTTTTCATAAGTTGGTCTAAGTGCCTCCTTAATATACCATTTTTCGTTTGAATTAGAAATAACATATTACTTTCTTTTTTAACTATTAAGCCTTCATCCCACTTGTTTGCTCCAAAATTTCTATACCAAATTTTTTCTCCAAATTCATCGTTTTATTTTTTGGTAAAGCAGTGTACGAAGTGTTGTTGTCGTCTTCCTTATATTTTACTAAATCCCAATTTGTTCTAATATCATGATTGAACATGAGTTTTCTTGGTGGGATGCCAGTCGTACTGTTTGGCATGTTTCTGTAATTTAACAAAAATTTCTTCAAAGCGATATCTATGTCCATGTTATTTTGTTCCATGCACTTCTTTATATGTGATTTAAAGGTTCTTACCATCCTTTCAACTTGCCCGTTTGACTGCTGATGGTGAGCTGAAGTCTGAAAGTGATGTATATCATGGTCTCTACAAAATTTTTTGAACAGTTGACTTATCAGAAACTATTTGTTCTGGAATACCAAATAAGCTAATTGTTTTCATCAATTCTTTTATTGTAAATTACGAGGTTATTGATTTCACCGGCGTGATTATAGAAAACTTACTGTACGCATCTACTATAAGCAACTAGTACTTGTTAAAAAACGGCCCAGCGTAATCAATGTGTATTCTTTCGAATGGCTTCGTCCCACGGATGCTGTGTATTAATGGGATGCCCAAATGTTACATGATTTGCATTCTTTTACTTTGTTATCAATGTCATTGTTAATTCCAGGCCACCAAAGGTATTCTTTAGCTAAATGTTTAGTTTTGCCAGCACCCAAGTGTCCTTCATGTAAATGTTATAGTTTTGATTTTCTTAAAACTTTAGGTACAACGATTTTATTTTCTTTAAATAGAAAATTTCCCATAATTAATTCCGTCACCATATTGTTATATGTTTTATTTTTTATCGTGTCACTGTTTCTAATGACGTTCATTATTTCCGTTAATTCTCTGTCATTAGAAGTTTCTTTTTCGATCATTTTAAAGTTAATTGGTACGTCCCATAAATCATTATTTTCTTTCATATCATCCATAATGTGTATTTCTTCTTCCGAAGGTGTTAATGGCAATCTGGAAAACAATCTGGCACCATGTTGTGTTTACCCGCTCTATTTCGTATTTCGAAATCCTAAGCTCCCATTGCAATATTCCACTTCTGCAACCTCATCGACATAGAAGAATTTTCTTTTAAACCTTTGGAAAATATATAAATCAACGGCTTGTGATCGGTGATGATTATAAATTTAGTTCCGATAAGATATTCTTGAAATCTTTTCATCGCAAAAATAAGCGCCAACGCTTCGCGTTCAATGTTAGTGTAATTTCTTTCGGATTTAAGTAAGGATCTTGAGGCAAAAGCTATCGGCTTTTCTTTGACATCCTCTTCTAAGTGAAATAAAATAACTCTCAAACCGCGTTTAGATGCATCCGGGGCTATACGTATGAGTAAATCAGGATTGAAAAAGTTCAATGTGGGAGGTTGACTGATTAAAGTTTTTAATTTTTTATAACATTCTTGATGTTCGGTATCCCAAGACCATTTACCTTTGTTAATTATTTTGTATAGTGGATCTGCCAGATCAACAAAACTGTTTAAAAATTTACGGTAATAGCTCGCCATGCCTAAGAAAGTAGATAATTCTTCTGAATTTTTTGGTTCCGGCATATCTATAATTGCTTTTATTTTATCATTGTTGAGATGTATACCATGTTTGTCTATATCATGTCCCAAAAAGCGAATTTTATCTTGCATGAATAAACTTTTGTCGAAATTGGGGGTTTATCCATACTTGATCTTTTTGAATACTTTTTTAATGTTCTTCAAATGTATCTCATCGTTATCACCTGTAATTAACAAGTCGTCAGTAGAATATAACATCTTTTAAATCTCCGAAAACCAGTTCCATAGTCTGTTGGCATATGGCTGAAGACGTTTTCAATCCGAACGGAAGTCTCGTGAATCTGAAGTATCCTTTATGCGTGGATATAGTTAGCAAATCTCTAGAATCTTTGTGAATAGGAATTTTCAGGAAGGCTTGTTTGAAATCAATTCTACTAAATTTTTTTACTCCAGCTATGGCAATCAAATCGTTAATTCTAGGTATGGGGTATTTGAATTCTTCAAACTCTGGGTTAACTGTGCCTTTAAAGTCGGCGCACAATCTGAGACTCCCATTGTTTTTAAAAACTGGTGTGAGTGGACTCGCCCATCTAACGTCTTTTATCGGCTTGATGATTTTATTTTCCAGCCAGGTATTTAACTCTTTAGTTATAATATCTACTCTAGAATAAGGTACCCTTCTCGGTGGTATAATTTTTGGCTTAGCATTTGACTTTAGTCGTAACCTGACTTGCATTTTTATAACAGGTTTATTATATAATTTAGACTTACAATTGGATATTAATTCCGCCAAATCGTTTTTATGATCCCTATCAATTAAGCCTATAAATCTTTCAAGTATGTTTTTAAAATGTTTTAACCAAGATCTTCCTAATAAAGGCATCTTGTTACTGTTTACTATCAATGCATCTAAAATTTGAGAACTTCCTTCGTATTCTACATTCAGTCGTATTGAGCCTCTATCACTTGTATGGTCTTGTCGTCGTAACCAGATAACTTAATGTTAGCCTTCGTAATGTTTTTTATGCCTACTTTCTCAATCATATACTTTGGTAGAATTGTGAATTTCGTGCCCGTATCCACTTGTAGTGAAGTCAAGATGTCATTAATTTTGATGTTCACCAATATGCGTCATCTTTAACATTTTGTACTTCGTTTTCTACGTTATTAATATCAATATTTAACAAATTATAATCTTTCTTATCGATTGATATGATTTTGTCGTCTTCGATCTCTTCTATATCAACTGTATTAATGGTGTGATTATGATTCATGTAATTTTTATTGTCACCTTCGTAAAATTGTTGATGCATGTTAGATCTATTATAATCTCTAAAATTTTGAAACGGTTGTCTGGTGTTGTCAAATCTGTTGTGGTTTATGAAATCATTAAAAGGCTTGTAATTATTATTATGTCCTTTGTTGTTAATATTAAATCTATTATTATTGTTATCTCTTGAGTCGTGATTATTGAAAGGAATATAAGAAGTTTACCATCTATTTTAATCATAAAATCTATCATAATTTCGTCTTGGAAAATGATAGTTATTTTGGTTGTTGAATCTTATGTTGCTATAATATGGTCGAGTCTGCCATGGTTGTCTAAACAGATGGCTTTAATTATTATCATGATATCTGTTTCTCTCAACATATGAAATCATCTGGGTGTTGTCATATCTTATATTAGTTGGTTTTAGTTCATAAATTTTCGTATCTTGTCTTGCTCCCTCCTAATGTTTTAGATCGGAGTGTGTATTTTCTTTGATAATCTTATGTATAGATGTTTTGATGTCTGTTTCGTCTAATTCTTTGCCTAACTTTATAATGTCATCTAAAATGGGTAAATCTTAAATTCTATATTTAATTTCCTTAGATGAGCTTGATACCTTTATTTTTTCTAAAACCCTGTCGTAGCCGATAAAGTTGCAGTGCATATTGAGTTGAGAAATATAGGTAACCCAATCTAAAAAACTTTCTCTCTCTTTTTGAACCGCTGCATTAAATTCGCTAATTTTTTTGTTTCGAATCTTGGAAGGTTGTAATAATCTAAGTTTGTTGATGAGTATCGACGATTTCTTGAGATCGGACTCAGTGCATATCGATTGTAATTTTGAAAATATATCACGTGGCGTTATCCTCATCTGTGCTGTTATTTTTTTTAAAAATAAGTTCAATTTTGGTTAAATATGTATCGATATTTCCTATATATCATTAGAAACATTAATTTTTTTATCTTCCGTCATATTTAATTAATTGAAAAAAAAAAATTTTATTCTTGTTTTTTTTTATATAATTTAATTATTTTATTTTTAGAAATATGAAATTATATTTTAATAAAATTTTAATTTACAAAGAAATTTACAAAGATAGCTGCTGCCACCATATTAAGGTTGGCAAAAAATAAGAAAAACAGATACTTAAGTTTATTTAATAAATTTATTTTAAAAATTATTTTAACTGATAAGACAATAATTTTGTAAGTTTATATAGTTCACAAAATCTATCAAGTAATTTAAGTCAAAATATTGAGTTATTTTTATAAAACCAGTCCGCCAGGTTAAAGTCAATATAATATAAAGAATAAAAAAAAAATCAATCTTTTATTTAATAGATAGCGATTAGTTTATAGATAACGATCAATTCGAACATCACAACATATATATAGATTAAATTTATACACATAAAGATGCTGATTTCAAATATGATAAGATAATAGACATTATAACATTGAATAATAAAAATATAAATATACAAAACATTTCAAAATGAATTGAAATAAAACTTAAATTTTGATATTATAATCAACAATCCTTAACAATAATGTTGCACATTACATTACCTATCACGAAATATATCACCATATGTTATAAAAATAATATAAGGGAATGATTTTTTTGCAAACATTGCCATTAAAAAAAAACACAAATAAAAAAATTGTTGTCATATGTTTTTGTCTGAATTTATCATTAGTTCATAGATCATAGAATTAGACGTGAACATGGTTGTGAAGGAAAAAAATACAGATTTATATAACAAATTTCGTAATTACTACTCGGAGGGAAAATTAAATTTGGCACTTGATGTTGCTGATAAAAGTATATTCATTAATGAAGTTTTTTTTAAAATTTACGAAGTTATAAGAGAAGTCCCAAATGATCATGATATGATGTATGCAAAATTTGTTTGTTTGCTCGAGGAAGAAAAATTTATTGAGGCATTAGATTATTTAAATCATAATCAATATATGAAGTAATATATTTTACTTTAATAATTCCTTTGAAAAAAGATAGGGGTTTGAAATTTGAAAAAGCTTATTGTCAGTATAGACTAAATAAATCTAAAGAAGCATTAAATACCTTAAAATCCATTAAAGATCCTAGTTTAAAAGAAAAAGAACTCATGAGTCAAATTGTAATGATTAAAAAATTTTATAAATTATAACTAATATATTTTCATTTATTTTTATTAAAAAAGCTTTATAAATTAGATGATTTTAAATCTTGCTGTAGCCTTTATTTGGATATCATTAAATCCACACAAGTAATAATTTATGTTTGAATAGTTTATTTATCATTACATAGGATGAGTTTGATGAGGAGAGAATATGTAATTTGTTGGCTAGTCTATCGTATTCTAGTGATCAAACTATATTGAAAGTTTTTTAGAATTTTTTAAAAATTATTTATAGCAATTTTAGAATTTTGAAGATGATGAATCAGATCGTGTCAATTATGAAATATATTTCAATTTAGCATCATTATATTTAGTCAAAAAAGACACCACAAAGGCAAAGGATTATTTGGTTAAGGCAGAAAGTTATTTTGTAATAGTTATGTATTTTAAAATATAATCATTATATAGAAGTCTGTCGCAAATTTTATTCCTCACATGATCAACAAGATGAATTGCTCAAAGAAATTAAAAACATTGAGTTTTATACATTACAGTTAAACGTCATTATTAAATATACAATAAAAGTGGGTAAACAAAGTACAATTTTATTTTATTAATACATATTGAAATAATATGTGGACAAGCAATTAATTAAGAATAATAGTAATATTTAAATTATATTATGTTGTAAATATATAATTTATGTTGAAAAATAAATTTTTTTTTGACCTCCTTTGAGAATGCTCAAGTAAAATTTTTAATTAAATTTCTTCAAAAATTCTAAATTTTTTTTTTTGTAAAAAGTCTTTTTAATATTTAAAATTTTTTAGAATTTCTTAAATGTAATCTATTTTGTATCCATTTATTTCAATAAAAATATGATAATACTATAAACTTTTTTAATAATTTTGATAAAATAATAAATACATAAAAAATATCATTAAAATTTATCAACTCATTCTATTTGATCACTAACTTGATGATGGTACCATTTTAGAACATAAAAGAATTAACTAGAGCTGTGCCGATCTACATATTTTTCACTAATCTGATCCAATATTTCCCAACATTGCTCCAAAATCTATCTGATACCTATACCGATCCGATATTTATACTGATTTTTCACCACCCCCCTTGAACCAAATGTAATTAAGAAATTAATGTTTTTTATGCAAAAAATCAAATTATGCATTTTAATTTTTTATTTCTACAATTAAGATAATAATTAAAAAATATATATATTTAATAATATATCCATATTATGTTGATATGAATTATAAAATTGTAATATTTAATATATAAAATTAATAATATATTAGATTTTTTTAATATATATGTGAGAGCCTCTAGATTTTCTGGCAATAAGCTTCTACGATATGGACTATCTATATCCCCTGTCGTACTGAAGGCAGACTCAGATGATTCAGCAGATAACGCATTTTGCAAAATTTTCTTTAACTTTAAATATTTCCATAATTCAGATACCATATTTAAAAAAATTCTTTTATTTAAAGTATAAATAATAAAAATTGGCTTTATTATTTAAAAAGATTCAAAATAAATAAAATTTTGGGTGTTCCTTTCTATTTTTATAAAATAACTTTTAAAATACTATAAATCTATTTTAATAAAGAAATAAAATTTAAAGGGTGTTGATCTGCATTCTTTAAAAAAAAATTATTTAGAAATATTATAATAATGTAAAATAAATATACATAACATAAAATATCAAAAAAATGAAAAGTAAAAAGATTGGATCGGGTTTTTACAGGTATCAACCCAATAAGATATTTTTGAAAAACGCCAAATATCGGTGCCGATCTGACCTGATATTTAATATCCACACAACTATAGAATTCATTAAAATTATAAATACAAATCAATTATGAGGTTGCCTTAATAATCAGTTCTCAATGATAACCTAACGACAAATAGCGTTGATTGTAAAAGTTGGTAAAATCATAAACAATGAATAAATCCATGTAAGAGTGGACGGAATAAAATTCCTAACAATTTCATCTTTTGTATCAGGGCGGGGATTGATTGCTAGATATTTATTTTTCAAGACTCCAAAAAAATTTTGATCGGATTTAGCCGAAGTGAATATGGTGGTAGATATTCAATCCTACCTTTATAAACATTGATAAGATGGCTTCTATGGATAGATGCATTATCCATTACAATGATTGCATCTGGTGGTTAGATACTAATAATCTGTCATTGAATCATGGAATAATACACCATTATAAGTTCCTTTGACTATAGTGGTTTATCTTCCCGCTCCCCCCCCCCAATTCCAATTGTACAAAGTATGCTTACAATTTTACCCTTGGAGGATGGGATTTTTATAATTGGGTAGACATTGCATGGTGCCCAGCCATAAATTGGTACAACATGCAAGTTTATTCCAGTTTCATCTAAGAAATATAAGTTTTCTCTTGAGATATTTAAGATTTTTACACAATAGATTTGACGAATATTAATTGCCTCTTGAATATTTCTTCTATCAAGCTCCTTGCCAGCTCTTTTTTTAGACCAACTATATTTTTGATATATTTACTAATGGTTGTTTTCGTTTTTGGACTACCAGGGGGCAAATTTTCTATTATCTCCTAGATAGTAAGAGTATAATCTTCCATTAATGAGCTAATCATGTATTTTACAATCATGCAAGAATCTTTTTTCTTATTTCTCTTATATAATGTATTCTTTGCGGATCTCCATTTATTTCTGGGAATGTGTCACATCTAAATTTATGAACTGTTGCTGTAGACATTTCAATGTATTTTCTGATGATTTTTATTTGTTGTTTTTCAGACATTGATATTATTTTAATAACTATAATATCCATTTTTTCTTCGTTCCAATATTTGTGTATTCTTTTTGGTCTTTGAATTTTCAACAAAGATTGGGAGTTTTCTTTTAAATTGGAAAAATTAGTATTATTATTGAATAAAATTCTAAAATAAACATTTTTTTATTACTTTAGAACAATTAAAAAAAATTTATATTTATTTTTAATTTAATTTAAATTTCAAACACAATTGCTTTTTATATTTAAACATGAAACTTAATTTTAATTAATTGCTTGTCCATATTTAATTTCAATATTTATTAAATTAAAATAATATCTTACTTTGTTTACCATTTTATTATATATTTAATAATGACACCCATTTCACTGTATTACATTTAATTAATTCTATTAAACTTATTTTTTATATGTTTGCATTATTAATTTATAAATTTTATTACTTAATTAGGGCCCAATTCGGATATATACATCAATTAAATGGGGAAAATGAAAAGGCCTTGAAGATTTATGATTCAATGTAGAACAATATAATATCCACATTTAATTCTTTCAATTATAACTTTAGGGTATTGTCACAAGATTCTTCTTCTCCTTTACCAATCATCATCACTAACAATAAATATATCATCAGACAAGTTTAATAAAATAATTAATATATATTTAAAAAAAATTTTTTTTTTTAGGACAATGTGAATGAATACAAAAAGAGTATCAAAAAAATTGCAGATTCCAAAATATCCCAGAAATTAAATAACCAGCAAATGAAGGAATTATACTTAGACCATGTTATATTTTGCCTACAAAACAATCAAGTTTATATTTTGATGAATAAATATATTTTATGGTATAAATTAAATAAATATTCCACTTTTTTTAGCCACACATTTTCTTTATTTAATATTGGTGCTACCCTATTAAATTCATGACTCTTAGTCAGTTCCTATTAAAATAAATAAAAAATAATATTTAATATTAACGAGTTGTTGATTGCCACCCTTTAGTCCCCTCTATATAATCAGTGATGTTAAGTTACATATTATGAGGGGAAAGTAACTAGAAGGTATCGACGTTACTTAATTTGAGTAACGAATAATTTTTAAAAGATGGAAGAACTTAAAAATTCTACCTGCCAAAATATCATGGATTTGCAAACTAATTTTTATCGTCATTATCACAGATTTTATTATTTATAGTTTATTTCTACAGGGATAGGGTAGTCCTCTCCAAGATTTCAGTGCCGCTATCAGCTATAAGAGGGGGTAGGATTTTTTATGCACAATTTGCGTAAATTTTAACTTCATCAAAGGTCACACATTTACACCGAATCATTAGAAAAATATTCTGAATCTTTGATTAAGGTTATTTCAAACATTTCTCATCTGTGGCTGGCATTAAATGACATTCCCTTCTCACTATTTATCTTTAGACTTCAATTCTCAGCAAATTAAGGGGAAACAAACTTGTTACCAACAATTAGTAATAATATGACATTCATAATCTATCAACACAATATAATGTTATTATTAATTTTCTCATACTATAACACATTTAAAAAGACTACATTTTAGAATATATACTATTCAGACAAAAATTTCATGGATGGAAAAGATATAATCGATTTCACCAATCTTTTCCTCGAAAATATAACAACATAACCACAATGTAAATATCGAATCTGCTAATATAATTTTACTTTCCCCCAAAAATAATAATATTAACTTTTTTAAATTAACACTTTTTAAATTTTTTAATAAAAATTAGTAACTATGAATAAACTTAAAGAACAAATTCGAGCATACTTTATCAAAGCAAACGTAAAACATACAAACAAGATGCGAACTATAAAAATGGATACCCTCGTTCAACTACATCCTAATGCTCTACCAACATTTCTATTTGTGATAACTATTATGAATCGGTACATTATTAAATATAAAGTTTAGATTGACACATATTCACAACCATCCTGATGAATCTGAGGAAGAGCATTTTGTTATTTTAGTAACTATGAATAAACTTAAAATTAGAGTATACCCTATTAAAGCAAACAAAACATTTAATCAAGTTATGCGTATTAGAAAAATGGATCCCCTCGTTCAACTCCATCCTAATGCTCTACCAACATTTCTATCTGAGAAAACTATTATAAATTGAATTATTAAATCATATGGACCACCTTTGCCTCTTATAAATTCTGATATCCCACTATACGGCGATTATAAATTAACACTAGATAATAAAACATTTTTAATTTGTAATGAAAATAATGAATTATTAATATTTTCTACACATGAACCACTTGAAAGCCTCTGTAGTGCCTACCAAATTTTGATGGACGGTATATTTTTTTTTTCGTGTCCATTATTATTTAAGCAATTATACACTATTCATATAATGATTAATCATACAATAATTCCTTGCGCTTATCTATTATTGCCAAATAAATACAAAGAAACGTATCTTAAAAAACTATTGTCGATCTATAGGTATTTTCTTTTCTCCTCCTAAAGCACTTATAGATTTTGAAATGGGAGTACTTACAACATTCGAAAAAATTTTTCCAATCATTTCTGTCAAGGGATGCTATTTCCATTATTGTCAATGTATTTTAAGACGTATACAGGGTAATAGATTGACATCATATAGTCGTCTTAATCCTGATTTTAAGAGATATCGCAGACTAATGGCGATACCCTTCTTAACCGAAATGGACATACCATTGGTATTGTTTGAATTAAATAATGAAGTAGAGGCCTTTAATTTAGATCCCATAACAGATATTTTTACATACCTTAAAAGTACTTAACCCAAACGCTAAATTTAAATATCAGATGTGGAACATGTATGATGTTCAAGGATCGAGAACAAATAACCATGTTGAAGGATTTCATCGTTCTCTAAATGAGTATATAACATATTCTTATCCGAATTTATATCTTTTTATTGATATATTAAAACAAATAAATGGGAAGAAAGTTACCGAGAGAAAAAAAATAGTGTATAATAGACAAGAAACATTTCTATATTGCACTACTTATACAATAATGCAGTATTTAGATAAAATATCAAGATATTTATTATCGAAAAAAAATAACAAAATGAAAAATAATTTAGTCAGCAGGTATAACCATTCAGTACCACGGTATTAAAATGACATTTGCACTCTGATGGCCCCTTAGCGACCATTTTCAAATTCGAACTTATTTCTATTCATAATATTTATTATCATATGTAGATTATATGGAAAATTATGGCTCATGAGCCTGACCCTTATTCAATATGTCTCACCATTTTTTTTAAAATTAATATATCTACCAATATTTCGTATAATTTTTAGTTTAGTCAAAAAATCAAATACTCTTCGAAGATATTTACTTTCGCATTTCTTGATAAGATATTTAATATCGAAAAAAAATATTAAATTATATTTTATCTAAATACTGCATTGGTGTATAAGGTTAATATAAAATGTTTCTCAACTGATTTTCTCGTCTATTATACAATATTTTTTCTTTCTTTCGGTAACTTTCTTCCAATTTATTTGTTTTTATATATCAATAAAAAGATATAAATTAGGATGAGAATATGTTATATACTCTTTTAGTGAACGATGAAATCCTTCAACATGGTTATTTGTTCTTACACCTTAAACATCATACATGTTCCACATCTTATACTTAAATTTAGCTTTTGGGTTAATCCAAGTACTTTTAAAGTATGTAAAAATATCTGTTATGGGATCTAAATTAAAGGCCTCTACTTCATTATTTAATTAAGACAATACCAATGGTATCTCCATTTCGGTTAAGAAGGGTATCGCCATTAGTCTGCGATATCTCTTAAAATCAGGATTAAGACGACTATATGCTGTCAACCTATTACCCTGTATACGTCTTAAAATACATTGACGATAATGAAAGTAGCATCCATTGACACTGGTTGGAAAAATTTCTTCGAGTGCTGTAAGTACTCCCATTTCAAAATCTATAAGTGCTTTAGGAGGAGAAAAGAAAATACCTATAGATCGACAATAGTTATTTTAAGATACGTTTCTTTGTTTTTTTTTGGCAATAATATATACGCGCAAGGAATTATTGAATGATTAATCATTATATGAATAGTGTATAATTGCTGAAATAATAATGGACACGAAAAAAAATGTACCGTCCATCAAAATTTGGTCGGCACTACAGAGGCTTTCAATTAGTTCATGTGTAGAAAATATTAATAATTCATTATTTTCATTACAAATTAAAAATGTTTTATTATATAGTGTCAACTTGTAAACGCCGGATAATCGGATATCAGAATTTATAAGAGACAAAGGGGGTCCCTATGATTTAATAACATGATTCATAATAGTTTTGACAGATAGAAATGTTGGTAGAGCATTAGGATGAAGTTGAACGAGGGGGCCCATTTTTCTAATACACATAACTTGATTATATGTTTTACGTTTGCTTTGATAGGGGTATGCTCGTATTTGTTAAATTTATTCATAGTTACTAAAATAGCATAATGCTCTTCCTCAGATTCATCAGGATGGTTGTGAATATGTGTCAATATAAACTGCATATTTAATAATGTACCTCTTGCAGTACAACGCCTTAGTCTACATTTTAAAAAAATCCAAATTTATGGTGTACATATAGATATTTATTTGAATATAATAAATTGCGTTTTTTTTGGAGGGGGGGGGGAAGAATAAAATTATATGGCTGTTCTAATTTAAATATGAGGATTCTATCTTATTAACTGATATTGGTAAAGTTACAGAGCTATTAGCTGCAATGGAGATATCGACCACTTCTTCATCTATAAAACTTTCATCTAAAAATGGTAAATCTACAGGGAGGTCTATCACTGGAGGTACAGTCTCTTCTTCTCCTCCAACAAGATACCAGCTATCCCCACAATACTGTCCCTAGATTCTTGTGCAGGATGGATCACAGAAGACACAGTATCTTGATCTTCCTCCAACAAGATATCAGCATTCCCCACATTACTCTCCCCAGCCTCTTGTGCAAGATTTATTACAGAAGGCACAATATCTTGATCTTCCTCCAACAAGATAGCAGCAATCCCTACATCACTATCCCCAGCCTCTTGTGCAGGATTGATCATAGAAGGCACAGTATCTTGTTTCCTTGCCAACGATACATATTAACAAAATTTTGATTAACTATTTTATAAAATTTTATGGGATAATATTTCATATTATTTTGTAAAATACTTCCTCTTCTTTCAGTCAAATATTTGCAAATATCTAGAAAATAATAAATCATATCTCGTATATTGCCACTGCATTCTGCTGTCACATTGAATACGCTATTTACTGTATAACCTTTCCTAGGGCAGTTTGGAGATGTACAAATATAATAAATTTTATTTTTGTAATATTTTGATCTTCTATGTGAAGAAGGTGTCATTATTGGAGATTATTACAATTATGGTATAGAGTTAATGACTTTACTACCTAATTTAAAGAAAAGTGTAATAAAAAAATCATTTACCATATAATATAGCACATCTAATCAAAACTGTATTTAATTTACAATATTTAGTAAGTTTAGAAAATGTATCTAAATATTAGTTATATAAAATATTATAATTAAAATCAATTACTTGCCTTTAAGATTCACAAAAACTTGCTAATATTGAGTGGATAACTTTAATTTACAATTTACTAAGTTTAGAAAAATATATATAAATATTAATTATGTAAAATATTTTAATTAAAACCAATTACCTTTGACAAGGTTAACAAAAGGTTGTTAATATTGAGTGGATAACTTTAATTTACAATTAATTTACTAAGCTTAGAATGATAATATAAAAATTTTTCGAAATATTCTCGCCAAATGGTATAATGACAAAACAAAGTCAAATGGATGGGCCCGATAGCCATTTAAAAATATTCGCAACGTTTATGGGAGTGAATTGTAGTGTTATGAAAGCTAAATCGAGATTTTCGCTAAAAATATTATACCTAAGCCTCGAAATTTTGCTAATAGAAGTTCCCAAACCTTTCTGACATCTGTGGACAAAATCAATAAGAGCTCGAGGTAATTCACTTTTGGCCAAAATATGAGAACTCTTTTATAAATTGGCTAAATCTATCCGTTTCAGATAATATAACAAAGGATAGTGCAATATTTTTAACTAGTGTTGTTAAACAGCTCAGATAACTCAATACTTCATCCAGACAAACATTATTCAAGCCTGAAGATTTTGCTTATAGAAGGAACATAGATACAGACATATATTGTCGAAATCTTGAGGCTTAGGCAATATTTATCTGGCTAAAATATTGAGTTAGCCGTTTTTAAAAATCGGCTCAAAACTAGCCGTTTAACAACACTATTTTTTAACTATATTTTTTTTAAAACCATTTACAAATAAACCGTATTTTAGTTCCTTTCATTAATTTATTATTAAGAAATTATTTATAAAATAAAAAAAAATATGTATATATTATACAATCATATAATAACTAAATCACAATTAAAAAAAAATATATGATCGGTTCGGTTATCGCTAAATATCTGTGCCAATCCGATCTGATATTTAATATCGGCACAGCCCTAACTCACATATTTAAATTTTTAAGATCTATTTTTCAAAGTTTAGCTTTTTTTTTAAAAAAAATAAAATAAATACATACAATTTAACTAAATGAACGAATTATAAAATGATTTGTGTTGATTGGGAAATTTTGCAATAAAACATTTGCTAGATTATATTTTTTTCTTCGAATTATAGTGATAGTAGGAAATAGAAATAAAAAAATTAATATTTTAAAAAAAATTTCGAGCCAAAAGAGAAATTATTGATCAAATTTGTTTACCTAAAAATAGTTGTTGTGCCGATTTTTAAAAATGGTTAGTCAGAAAAATATTACCCGAGCAACGATATTTCGCTAATAGATGCGCAACCATTTGTGCCACCTTTGAGTAAAATTTTGAGACTTGCATAATATTTTTTCTGGATATAATATCGATTTGAGCCGATTTTAAAAAAACGGCTAACTCAATAAACCATGAGATCTTTTAACAACATGTAAATTTATCATGCTTTTCAAGGTGAAAATCGAAAATAAAATAACTCTAAAAAAACAAAGTTCGTCCTCCCCCCCCCACCCTCGAAAGAAATTTTATTTCCACTAGGTGTGACTAAATAAAATTCATAAAACCTTTTCATTTATAAATATCGAAATACTTAAATTTATTATAAAAAAAAATAAATTTCGATATTACGATTCAAAGTTGGATCTCTGTAGAAATTTAGTCAAAAATTATGAACAACGATTCCCGGACGAAAAATATCAGGCTATGATCATCAACGTGGCATTGTTATGTAAGGATAAAAAGATGGAAAAAGCGCTACAGATTACAAGGGTATTAATTTATTTTTAATCGAATGGAGGCAATGCGGCCAGATTTAACAGCTGTTCGGTTATCAATTTAAAAAAAAATATATATTTTACTATTTAGATTTTATCTTGATCAACTTTTTCCGCTCTGAATTCAGCCGTATGCCGCATCATAATCATTGCGTATGAGCCATTGGTCCCCGTGATTACTTCACGCGCGAATTGGAAATTAGCATTCAAATGCTCATACGCTCTAATTAGGATGCAGCTTTTGTCGTATGGTTAATTTGTAAGCCTACCTTATTTCGTTTTCACTAGTTTATCATTTTTTGGGCGTTTCTCAAAAAAAACAACATATTTCTTGTTGATATAGAAAATATTTTTTTGCGCGTGCGCTAAAATTAAAATAAGCATGTTCCGAAAGCGCGTCGGCGTCTGAATTTCGATACGATTGTTGCTCAAAGAATAAACTCGCATAAAATGGGAGGGATGAATTCATTATGGAAGGGAGAGAGGGGAGGGTATAAAACATGCATTGAGCTATGGGAAGGGTGTTAGAATATTATATATTTGAAGGATCTTTGAAATTTCAATCCAAAATTGTGATAATAAAATATCTTATTTTTTCTTTATTTTATTTTTTTAAAAATAAGGATTTTATTTCTGAAAACGTAGATAAACCCGACGATAATTCGTCCCTAATGTGCGCGTATCTAACCGAGGCTCAATTATACATGGACATTGGTTAATATATATATTTTTTTTAATTTTACGAGAAGTAAATCTATTTAGATAGGCCAATTTATGGTATAAATTTAAAGATCCCACTCCCCATTTTTTTCCTCTCGTGACCGGACAGAATACCGTCAACATGTTCCAAGAAAAATCAAAATGTTCCAATAAAAATCCCGGCAGACATAAAGATTTAATTTAAAAAAAAATATGTTAAGTAAAAGTTACTTTAATAATCAAAAACCATATGTTGACGACGGAGCTTCAAGTTTGAATCCCATTCAGAAAAAAAAATTACAATTTTTGGTTCCACCAATCAAATCCAAATTTTTTTTTCTTCTCGAAACATCCAAATTGAAATAATTTTCGATCCGATACGATTTAAAAAAAAAAAATTGGACTGTCAAAAAGTACGATAATTCGAAGCGATAATAGGAAAAATTTTTAAAGCTCTGAGAGGATAATTTAAAAAAAATTTTCGATGTTAATAATGAATAATATTCATAAGAAAATATTAGATTTAATCAGGTCCTGTCCGAAATAAATTTTAAAATCGGGGTATGAATCGGACCGAGTTTGAGAGAATATCTTTAGGTCGGTCTCGGATTGGTCAATACAGGGTTCTAATTAGTCTACAGCACTTTCAAAATCCGATTCCATCTTAACACATGTTTTTTTTTATCTGCCAGATTTTTTTTCCAATTTACGTTTTGACATCTCAACTATATTCCCACTTAAAGTTGCTAAATCGCTTCGATTTGGAACGATTTTCAAATACGCCTAAATCAAAGTTGTAGCCACAAAAATTTTGCCTAAGCCTCGAGATTTTGCCAATAAGATGTCCTGAGCCATCTATGAGCAAAATCTTTAGACTTGCGTAATATTTTATATTGACTTAGCGTTTTTATAAATAGGCTCAAATCGAGCCATTTAGCAACATTTAATTCCCACCATTAACTAAATCTACTATTCGTTTTTAAAAAATCGCCGTATTTATCGATGATATTAGGCTCGTTTTTATGGATAATGAGTTGGGCTTGAGTTTTTTTGAAAAGACGGAGTCCAGGTTCAAGGGGGTTCAGTGAGGGAGGGGTAAATATTTTATTTTCTTTTAATAGGATTTTAATCATCTATCCTATGAACCCTATATTACAAAAATAGTTTAAATTCAGTAATTATTGTAAGTTATTTCTAATATTATTTTATTATCGTTAATTAAAATGGGAGTAATAAATTTAGCCTGATTCATTAATTAATCCTTTTTTTAAAAAAAATGATGAATATAATGCTTATATTATTTGTAATGTTTCTTTTGTTCACACATGATGATTCCTTTTCCATATTTTGATACATGGATCTGGAATTCATTTCGATATCGAAGGTCCAATAATATTTATGAATATTAAATTTGGCAAGTTTTATTTGCCATGATCAAAATCATAAGATGAAAGCTCTTTTCACACTCGGCAATAGAATAAAGTATCCACAAAAAAAAATATTTTTTTTGCCTAAATATAAAATAGATATTGTTGATTTAGATATTAAAAGAATAAATTGTTCTGTACTATATTTGAAATAAAAAAATATTGTCTCAAAATTGGGTAAAACGCAAAAAAAGGAATAAAATAAAATGAACGAGGGAAATAGAATTGAAAACATGAAGTTCAATTTTGTGGTTCTTTCCATAATTATAAGGGGGATCGGATCAATTATGATTTTAGTTTTTGATGGTTTCAGAAAAATCAGATTCAAAGTACGGGGCGGATCAGATTTATCTCCCCCCCCCACACCCTCGGTGTTAGGTATTGATTCCTTAAAGTGTTAACACGCAAAAAGGCACTTTGTATTATATTATAAACAGATATGCACCGGTTCCACCATTAACTAAGAGTATCAGTTGAAACCACCTAGACCAATAATCAGCTGATACGAGCCGATACAGTTAGTATCGGTGCATATTTGAATATAATTATGCAAAGTGATCTATTAAATATCATAAAATAATATCATTCAAGAATTGTCAACATAATTATGCAAATCGTATCCATCTTTTTTTTTAAAAAATAAAAATTTTAAATTAATTTAATAAATATTGCAATTTATATATATATATATATTTTACAGATGATTATATGAATGCTGCCAAAACCTTGGAAAAAATTCCTGATATGTATCGATATCCACAAATAGTTTGTTTTTTTTTAATAAAAAAAAATTAATTTTATGATGATATTTATTCACTTATATTTTTTAAGGATTTATGGCATGATTTGATTAAATAATGCTACTAATTCAATTATACCACATCTTATTATTTATGTATGTCGTATTGAGATATGAAATTAATTTGCGAACGATGAAAAAGAGATTTTAGCAATATAAAAAGAAAAATTTTCTCGTTTTGCCTCACTCTTGTGCTCCAATTTATTTTAAGGGCAAACCTTTTGCGGCAGATTGGAGATTTAGTCAAGTTATTTGACTTGATCATTCATAACATACTCCTCCTGGAGAAAATCTTTCATCCGCTCTTAGGATTCTTATCGGTTTAACCTCTCATATTCCAATATAAAATAGAAATAATTTTATATTTTCTAGCGAGCCTAGACCAGGCCTGGATTTTTGTATTTTTTTGTTTAATGGGGTTATGTCTAAAAATTTTTCATTTAACTTGTTTAACAAACTTAAAAATGTTTTTTCTTCTTCTAATAATAATTTTGAGTATTATAAGCAAAATGATTACCTTAATATACTGAAATATTCTTTATTTTCTTATTGAAATAAATAAATTATATTTTTGGTTATGGGTTTTGGCAAAATTTTTGAAACTTATTATGGGCTTGGGAATTTTTTTTAATATTGAATATGGGCAGACCAGGGCCTACATATTTTTTTACTGCAGGCCAGAGCTGGGTTTGATCATAAAATCTAGACCATACATATTTAGTCAAATCAGATTTAATTACGAATCCCCCATATCCCAATACGATATGTATATATTGCTTATGAAATAGAAAAATTATATAATTGAGATGGTATATTTATTTCTGTCTTCCTTTCTTCCTTCCTTTCTTTCTTTCTTTCTTTCTTTCTTTCTTTCTTTCTTTCTTTCTTTCTTTCTTTCTTTCTTTCTTTCTTTCTTTCTTTCTTTCTTTCTTTCTTTCTTTCTTTCTTTCTTTCTTTCTTTCTTTCTTTCTTTCTTTCTTTCTTTCTTTCTTTCTTTCTTTCTTTCTTTCTTTCTTTCTTTCTTTCTTTCTTTCTTTCTTTCTTTCTTTCTTTCTTTCTTTCTTTCTTTCTTTCTTTCTTTCTTTCTTTCTTTCTTTCTTTCTTTCTTTCTTTCTTTCTTTCTTTCTTTCTTTCTTTCTTTCTTTCTTTCTTTCTTTCTTTCTTTCTTTCTTTCTTTCTTTCTTTCTTTCTTTCTTTCTTTCTTTCTTTCTTTCTTTCTTTCTTTCTTTCTTTCTTTCTTTCTTTCTTTCTTTCTTTCTTTCTTTCTTTCTTTCTTTTTTTCTTTCTTTCTTTAAAAACCAATTCAATATTAATTACATCGACGTGCCTTTCATTAAGTTAAAATGCGGAATATTCGTTTTACCATAATTCATTTTCTTTCCCAAATAGCCAATTTCTATTTATTTTTTTGTAGGTTCAGTTTTTGATATACCTATACCAGAAAGCTGGCAAAAACAACGCAAACGAACTTAACGAGGACATCATAGGTGATTTATACCTTAACGCTATTACCTGGAATTCAGCCAATAAACAAGTTACAAAATTTAAAAATGAAATATTTTTTAAAAAAATAACTTTATTCGAACATATATGGATGGGAAGAATGCATGACCTAAGTTATAGAGTCTTTGGACATATCCTGCCTCGGAAATAAAAGACGAGGGACATTTGGGGTTAAAGTGCCGCCGAATTTATTTTTGCTCTGGGCCACCAACGCTCTTAACACGGCCTCGTGCATTAGTGATCCTGTTCTGCATCGGGCCTAATTTTACAAATCTAACCCTCCTTTTGCCCCACCCGACTTTGAGCGCATTTTTTTTATTTGTCCCGAAAAGCCCAACCTAATATAAAAATTATTTATCCGCTTGGCCCAATCGTAAAAAAAGTATTTACAAACTTAAACATATTGGCGCCATGTAAATCCGACACAAAGCCCGCTCGAGCTTGGGTACGGGTCGGGCTTTGGCGATCTCTACCATGCATACCATTAATTACAAATTATACGTATAAAATGCATAGAGATGACTTATTGCATGCACATATAAAATCAGTCAAATTTAGTTTAATACCTTGAATAGAAAGAGAATTACCCTGCATTCATGGTTAACGCGAATTCGCGGCAAAGTAATACAAAAACAGCATATTTTGTATACTTCGTCTTGAATACAAATGCAATTTTGTATTAGACTATAAATTTTTGTAAATACGGGCATATGAAGACAATTCAGTCATAATTTGACACCGGATACATTCGCCAATCGCATAACTTTCTCTAAAGCCTTTTTTCAAGGATACCTATACTATTAATTTCTTCAAATTGCCCTGGTCTAAATATTATTCTTTATAATTCTTTATATTCGTCGAACACTATTCCATCAAACTTGTTATCGATTTTATGGCAAAATATTTTAACCCAGTGATCTTCATGACGCCTAATTTTTTAAGCTAGGCCCGGCCCGAAATTTTTTTTAAAATATTTGCCCTACTTAGCCCGATCCCGAACGAGATTTTTTTATTTGTCCCGGAAAGCCCGAACCAAAATAAATATTATTTGCTAGAAAAATGTAATCTTTTTTTATTGTAAAAAAATATTCTACAAATAAAGCAAGAATTTTAAAATATATCAATTTATTTGACAAAATGTAATGATATTAATATTTAAAAATTTAAGCCTCACCCGGTGACCCGAAATTTTTTAAAAATATTAATCCCGAACCTAAATGGCCGGACCGTTATTTACAGATCTCTACTTTAACCCTAGAGAGGTCTATCGTCTTTTACAGGCGCTCCTTCCCATTCGTCACTGCTACATCCCACATTGTTCGACTTGTTAAATTAGCACAAACAATGAGTGAATTTAATAATCAATATTATATTATTAGTGGGTCATTCCATGACAAATCAACAACGATTCGGCCGACCCCTTCGATTTTTTTAAAATTTGTAAGCAAAGAAAGGTCGATGTAACTAAGAAATAGCCAAAATTTTAGCCTCCTAACATTTATATTTTTGAAGATATTAGGGTTCAAAGTGTCAAAAATGACGTATTTTTACCATTATCTGCCTTCATTCAATTAAGCATATCTTAAAAACTACATAATTGTAAATAACAAATTTAATATCAAAATTACGTACAAAGATTCTACTTTTTAGATAAAAAAAATTTTTTATTTTTTTCCCCAATTTCCGGTCATTTTATTTAATATATAAGGACTAAAAACGATTTTTTGGAAATAATACGACCTTCAATTTTTTTAAAAAATTTAGTAGACATTATTAAACTCTTCCTTTATATTTATAAAAAAAAATTGGTCTGGGACGCGGCCATCTTCATTCTCAAAATCGATAAAAATGTCTAGAAAAGTGTATAAATATTTTCCCGAAAGGGGGGCGTCTTTGTATAAAATTATATATTAATTAGTTTTTAATGTTTTTCTTTGGACTATTTGATATAATTTAAAGGATTATTCATCTTGTAAGTGAAAATAACATTAAATGGGGCTTTCATTCAATTATAGAAATTGTCTATCGATAAAAGAAATTCAATTTATTACTTTATTATAAAATTTTTTGCCCATATAACATATACTTAATGAATATTAATAAAATATATTCAACCAAGTTTATAGTTCTTGAATATATGAATCAGAATCTTGTTCATTTCATAGACGCCAAAAATAATATCAAAATTTTCTCTACTCAATTTTTTAAAATAATTTGAAATTTTTAAAAATATTACAAATATTAATTTATTATTATTATGAAATTATATACAAAATAAAAGTATTATCATAAAATTACCCAAAACAATATAAATATTGGATCGGATTTTCTAAAATCGGCATAGTCTTTCTAAATTAGAATAACAATAAATAAGTGTTTCAATCAATAAAATAAATAAAAATTTTAAAATTGATTAACCCTTTCGCGCCCAGCGAGATCATTTGTCATTAAAATTTTTAATCAATTAATTTTTATATTTAAAGAAACTAATGGTTGGTACTTAGAGATATTATAAAACAATATTTATTATTTCATATTTTATCATTAACCTGTCAAAATCATTATTTTATTATGTCAAAATGATTATTTTATTATATCAAAGTACAAGTATTTTTTGTTTATGGGAAATATTTCAAGCGCGAAAGGGTTTTATTCATTCAATAACACATACTCACTATATTAATTCATTTTTTAATAAATTTCTTGGTATTTTGATTTCTATCAACACCTAACCCCAAGCCTGGAAAAACTATAGATGAATATACAGTTAAAATTGTACAAGAATTTTATTGTATGGACGAAATAAGCAGAATCATACCAGACAAGAAAGATTGCGTTTCGATTTTGACCAAAGACGGAAAAAAGAATACCATAAGAGATTAATTTTAGATAATTTGGAAAAAATTTATATATTTTTTAAAGAAATGAGGCCTGATGTTAAAATTGGTTTTTCGAAATTCGCAAGCATTCGCCCAAAAATTGTATACTCGTTGAAGGTAGTGGTACACATGTATGTGATTGCAGCTACCACCAAAATTTAAATTAATGATCATTGGATCAAATTTAACCAATGATATGTTGCCCTTTAAAACATACAAACATATTTTACACTTAATAATTTGTAATTCGCCTCAACCATCCATTTATATGGGCAAATGTGATAATTGTCCAGGGTCAACACATTTACGCGATCAAATAGAAATATTGTTTCGTTCTAAGGACATCGAATTTATAACATACAAACAATGGCTATCCGTAGATAGAACCACCCTTGAAACAATAACCAAACCAGTAGGTGAATTTATTAATGCCTTTTTAAAATAAATGGAATCTTTATCATTTTTTTATTTCAACGCAACAATCGTTGTATCAAAACAATCTAAAATTGAACTTAAAGATAATTTTGCCAATATTTGTTGCCTAAATTATGTAATGATATCCGAATCTTTGCAACACAATACAATAACAGTACATAATTTTAAAAAGACATTGCTAAATTTTTTTAATTAATAAAATTTTTTATTTTCCGGTGGATCCGCCGCACAGTACAAAAACGTAAAAATTTTATTAATATTTGCCATCATGAGATGGATTTCGGGGTACAGGCGAAATGGCATTTTTCTGCTACAGCACACGGGAAAAGTGTTTGTGATGGGATTGGTGGCACTGTTAAAAGATTAGCCGCTAGAGCTAGTTTACAAGGCCTTACTTCAAAGTACACATCATATGAATTGTACGAGTTAGCTAAAGAAAATATTAATGTCATATATTTTGAATAGAGCACCAAAATAAATTATGCATTACGAAGATCTATTACTCAGGGAAAGATTTTCAAAAACTAGATCTATACCTGGAACACACAAAATACACCTTGATTCCAACAGATCTACATAATTTAAAAGTAAAATATATTGCAATTTAATAGAAAGTACTTTGGAATAGTTATCATATAATGATGAAAGTATAATTATTGAAGAAATATCATGATACCTAACTTATTTTTATGATTCTAATTGGTGGTTAGCTTTGTTTTAGTGAAAAATCAAAAGCAGGAAGAAATATATATAAAGTTTCTACACCCATCCGGACCTTCTAATTCCTTTACATTTCCAAGTATAGACGACACTCTTTGCTTGCCCAAATGTCATATCTTAACATTAGTTTCACTGTTAAATGCTACTGGCCGTAGTTATACTATACATTGTCGTCACAAGAAAGTAAATGCGCTACCGAAAAATTAGAATCTTTTAAAAGTAAGTTTAAATTTAAATTATAGTATTTTTTTTAATATTTAGGGCGCCATATATGAAATGCACAAGATTCTGATTCATATATTCAAGAACTCGAAACTTAATTAAACATATTTTATTAATATTTATTAAATATATGTTATATGGGCAAAAATTTTTATAATAAATTATAAATAAAGTAATAAATTGAATTTCTGTTATCGTTAGACAATTTCTATAATTGAATGAAAGCCCCATTTATTGTTATTTTCACTTACAAGATGAAATAATCCTTTAAATTATATCAAATAGTCCAAGAAAAACCATTAAAAAATTATTAATATATAATTTTATACAAAGACGCCCCCTTTCGGGGGAAATATTTATACACTTTTCTAAACATTTTTATCGATTTTGAGAATGAAGATGGCCGCGTCCCAGACCAATTTTTTTTTATAAATATAAAGGAAGAGTTTAATAATGTCTACTAAATTTTTTTAAAAAATTGAGAGGTCGTATTATTTCCAAAAATCGTTTTTAGTCCTTATATATTAAATAAAATGACCGGAAATTGGGAAAAAAAAATAAAAAATTTTTTTTATCTAAAAGTAGAATCTTTGTATGTAATTTTGATATTAAATTTGTTATTTACAATTATGTAGTTTTTAAGATATGCTTAATTGAATGAAGGCAGATAATGGTAAAAATACGTCATTTTTGACACTTTGAACCCTAATATCTTCAAAAATATAAATGTTAGGAGGCTAAAATTTTGGCTATTTCTTAGTTACATCGACCTTTCTTTGCTTACCAAATTTTAAAAAAATCGAAGGGGGTCGGCCGAAAATCTCATTTTTTTTGCTCATTTGACGTGGAATGACCCAGTAATAAAAAAACCTCCATGGCAAGTTGATTTGAATAATTCAATTCATAATTATTATACCCACCTGGTGTTCTATTTAATTCCAATGAGCTAGAACATTAACAGATTGAAAACCTATTTCTATAATGAATTATAAAATAAGGTACAAAAATTTAAACCAATCAAAACTTGAGTTTCATTCAAACAGAAACTGATTTTTTTGTTTGAAAAAAAAGAAAAAACTCATAAAATGATAATCCTCGAGGAATGTATTTGTCATAATTGGGAGACTTTGATTTGTAAGATTTGATTTTTCGTAAAGTCAGTATGTATTGCGTTTGATGAGTCATTTTTATTTTCATAATTTTATGTTTTAATTAAATTGGTGAGTCATTGTTATTTTTATAATTTTATGTTTTAGTTTAATAGCGTTAACATTTTATATTTAGATTTATAAAAGTTAATTATTGTAAAGTAGTGCTGTAAACATTTTAAAAAAAATCGGAAACGCGTTCAACGTTCATTGACAAAAATCGAACAAACGCGTTCACGTTCAAATTCAAAAAGGAACGCGTTCAAGTTCGCTGGTACGCTTTCATGTCACGTTCAAAAATTTTATGATAAATTTTTTTTTTAAATTTAATTTAATATAAATAAATGCCTTATATTTTTCAACCCATTATATTAGCCATGATAAAAAATAATAGTTTTTATTTTGATAATATAATTATAAATACAATTTAATAGATCGATAAAAAAAATAAATTTATAAAAAATTTTTCTTATTAATTTTTAATAATAATTGCTTTTCAAAAATTTTCATCTGATAGGCATGAACGCTTGGCACTTAATACAGCGTTAGCTATACTAAAAACTCGCTCAACAGGGGCAGATGAAGGGATTGCGGTGTTATACTTGATAAACAATTCTTTTAAAAGGGGGAATTTATTGAAAACATTTAATGTTTTATCCATTGTCTCAAAAAATTGAGCTATGTTATCATCCTCCAATCTGCCCTCTTCTTCCTCGTCAAAAAAAAGGACATCTCGGAATTGATTTTAAACAGTGAAATATTTTTTGATAGGGCCATGGTAATTCTAATTCATCTATTGAATTTTTATTTTCAGAATCTGATGATGAAATATTTATATCCTTGCAAATCCTAATCTATTATATTAAAATATAAAATATTCAAATTAATAAACTTTAATCTTATCTTCTCTAGCAGTAGCACGTTATGGTACGTTAATTGCATGAAAGAGGAAAAAGTAAAAACAGCTGATTAAAAATATAAGAATTTTTTTGTTAAAAAATTGGATTAAATATTAATTTTTCAAATAAATAAAAATATAAGACTTTTTTGTTAAAATGCTGATTAATATTAATTTTTCAAATAAATAAAAATAAAAAAGTGCTTTTAAAATTGAACGAACGTAAAATTGAACGCGTTCATCAAAGAAAAGGAAAGTTTTTTTTTTTTAAGTTCGTCAAAAAAGTTGAACGCCGTTCATCACCTTTTTTTCAAAAAAACGAACTTCGTGTTTACAAATACTATTGCAAGTCATTATAATGTGATATTTTATAATTTCTAAAAATGTATTTTTAGCTTATAATTTTTTATAAATTGAGGCGATTAGGTGCTTTATAATTGTAAAAGAAGATATTTTTAGATTGTTAAATTTTAATTATTTATTTGTGAGATTTATTACGTCTCTATAAAATTTTTTTTTTTTTTTAAATTATCAATTCATTTTTTTTGAATAATTTTTTTTTTTACACAGCTAATTTTTTTTTCCGTTTTAAAAAATTATAATATTTTTATTGGTTAAATAAAGAAAATTTGTAGTGGTGTTTCTTTATTGGTTAAAATTTGTAGTATATTAGTAGTTGCAAGTGGACAACGTGATAGTATTAATATATTTATAAATTAATAGCTAAATGAGATAAAAAAATCTTGAATATATATTTTGTACAAATTTTTTTTTGATCTGCCTCTTTTTTTTCTTTTAGCATCATCAAATATCTAAACTCTCTCCCTGATTCTTGGGGAAAAATGGTCTCTCGTGGGCCAGTTGCACGTTTGAATTTTCTCTGTTATAAAATACTTTTTTTTTACGATATCTGTATTATAATAGGATGGGAAAAAATCGTTTGTGCCCTACTATCTCCAGGAATTGATTAATTATACGACTGCTAATAAAGCTACCCTTTCCCAATCCTTCAACGAGAAAGTAGCCGCACTTTTGGAAGATCAATACAGGTTTGTTCCCTAAATTAAATCGATTGTTAATTATAGATAATTTAGCTCAACTAAAGGAATTATTCAAACGGGAGGAGTTTTTTTTTTAAAATTAAAATAAAACGGGCATCTAAAGTAAGGAGTAGGGTTATAGAGTTAATTTAAGACCTGAGGCAATATGGGTTAGGGTTAATATATATTTAGAATAGAATTGTTTTTTTTTATAATAATAATCTGACAGGTCATGTGAATATAAATAAGCGAGTACAAATTTAGATATTGTAACAGTAATTTCCCTGAGTTGGACCATGTTATTTTTTTTTAAAAGAACCATAAATATCACCTGAAAATATTTATTAAATTTATATAATATATTAAAAAGTATCAGTGGTGTTATGTAAGGTCAAAGATTTTATTCTTTTTTTGGAAAAAGTAAACGTTTCATTTAAAAAATAAGGGTATTGTAGTGTTGTTACCTATTTAGTCACCTTCAATACAGTTATAGCCAAGTTTTTAGCCTAAAAGGAAAAAAATTAAGTTATACCTCTAAGTTGAGATTCAATTTGAAGATAGAGGCGATTTTTTTTAGTAATAAAAACTTGGCCTTCTGTTTTGGAGATGGCTAAAGTTGGGTGATTTAATAACGCTACCGTAATACGCTTATTACGAGCTCTAATTTTAAAATCTCCCATCAAAAATTTTCTCTTTAAACATCGATTAAATATGGGAAATATTTATAAATTTCTGCCCATAATGATTATTAATTTTATTTTAAAGAACAGATCCAGAAAATTTAATCGTGCAAGGAATGTTGCTGAAACTGTATGATAAATATGATACCGATAAAGCCAAAAAGTTAGTAATATTACTACATTTTATCCACTTATTTAAAAAAAAAAAATATATATAAATTTTTAATCTTGGTTATCATTGAGTTAATTTCCATTATATATTGATATTTTAAAAAATATATCTTCCCCCTAGTTATCTTCAGAAAGAGTTAAACGTACTAAGTTTAGGAAAACTAAGGGGTACACAAAACCAATTAAAAATAATTATAATTAAATTTAACTAATTCATATAATTTTGTATTTACATATATAAGTATGATACAATAATGTTTAAAAAAGATTGGCCCACGATATTCTCAAAGATAGAGGAGGCGATGACACGAATTCGCTGACGATACTAGATGAACAAGCTATCGATGCCATATCGAAAGCGATGTCTGCCCATAAAAAGTCAAAACGAAAAAGGTTTGCATATTTTAATCTAACTTGGAATTGTTTATTTTACATTTTATACTCCATGATTCTTTTATTTGTCTATTTTTAAACTTAAATAGTGATTTTGATTATGCACTAACCTTTCATTTATAAGTAATGATTTATCTGTTTTGCAATTCAATTTTAATAATTAAAATACGTAATTTTATTTTTCTATTAGATTAGCCTCTGATTCCCAACAGAAGCCTTTGGTGACCGCGGGTCCAACCAGTGTTACAGAGCCTGCAATTGATGTGTTGGTTACCTCTGCCAATCAACCCACTTCCTCACTTTCTAAGAAAAACAAAAATTGTGCCTTAAAACATAAATTAAAGTGCAAAGCTAAGAGGATAGCTGCCCTAAAAGCTAAAAATGTGTTTGGGACAACCGGGGCCGATCCCGATAGGTGGTTACCCAGACACTTGAGGACTGCTTCTTCATTGACTTCAACCCATCATTATTACAAGAAAAAGAAAGGAATCAAAGGAGGGGCTGCCAAAAATGCTGAGCTAGGTTAAATTATTTATTAAACAGAGAGAACTGGAGGTAATGTTGCGTAAAGAGATTATCTTAAAAACTGGCTTAACCTAATCACGTTTAGTTTAAAAGATCGCTAAGTCTAGTTATGCCTAGCGGCTTAACTAAATTAGGTTTTTTTAAATAAATTTCGTCTTAATTTGGTTAAAGCTAATTAGTCAAGTCCGATGGAAGCTTACCATGCCTAATAATGACAATCTCTCGTCACACATTTTTAATCTAATATGTTCAGCGCGGTCTTTTGAATCACGTGTACCGTTGAAAAGTTATAAATTTCAACTCTGTCATTTTACCAAGGGCAGTCATTTCATTTCTCGCTTCAAAAACATTGGCTATTTTTTTGTTGAAAATAAATCTATTGGGATTATAATGATTGCGATTAATCTTACTGCAAAAATTAATCGCTTCAAAAACATTGGCGGCTATTTTTTTTCTATGAAAAAAATGACTGTTAAAAATATTATTTTCTAACCCAACCTGATTGTTTTTTGCTTAACTCCTTCAATTGTTATTTGTGTTATTGGTTATATTTTTCTTATTTGCAAATGGAATCAAACGTCAATCGAAAACATAAAAAGCGACGTCGTATGAATGTCTAAATGATTTATCTTGCGTAACATTATATAGGTCGTTAGATTTTTGATTTTAATGATTATCTGCATTATATTCATATTATAATTTAATTTATGTATTTTAGGAAGAGGAACTCAAGGAGCTGCCCCTACCGCTACTGATGGGTAATTTTTTTTTAAAAAATATCAATCAATCTCATTAACCAAAAATTTTTTTCAGTAAGGAAGGCACCGGAGAATCAATTTATTTCTTTTGAAAATTTGAATGAATTTTTTTATATAAATTTTTAAACTTGCTATTTTAGTTTAATAGTATTCATTTATTTTAATATAGTTTACTAGCTATAAAGACTATATTTTTGAATGATATCCTTAGATTAATATTATTATTAATTATATATACCAGAAACTAGCAGGGGCCCTAAGCCGGGTACAAGCCCCGGACCTTATTTTTTTTTTAAATACACCCGACCAGGCCTGAATTTTTTTTTAAAAAAATACCCAGGCCGAGCCATATTTTTTAAAACCAAATATTTTAAATCGCCATTATTAGCTATAAAAATTAAAAATGTCATACATTGGCCCAAATTTTTTTTGTTAAAAACTTATATTTTGCCAAGTCGTCCAGTGTTCCAAGCTACTCTGAACCATTTGCCGAATCTTCATCTACCAAGCCCATCCCTCTTGCCTTATTCGTTCCTCCGGAAGCAAACCGCAATCTGCCAACTACCTCTATGCCTCAGTTTCACTAATTTCGTCTTGTTCCAGCTCCAACGGACCCCCAAAAGGACCACCCGCATTCCTCCCCTGATCAACTTCTTCAGTTTCCACGGTCTCTACTGCGCACCACCGTAGCTTTTGGTCTTGGTTCCTTTTCCTGTTACGTTACAATCCTCCCCCATCTGCTCCGCCCCCTCCGACGCCACGATTCCCGTATCCCCATCATCATCTGCTCCACCGTTCTCAAATCGGTCTCCTCCCGTCGTCTCTCCATAGGACACGAACGGCGAATGTGCCCCCGTTCTCCACATCCGTAACACTGGCGAACATTCCCGCGGGCTCCTTTAGGGTCATCTATTCGAATTCTCCGAACATTCCTTAATTCTTCTGTTCTGCGTGGTCCCAGCGCCCTTCTTGGCGAGAACCCATGTAGCGTCGTTTGCCTGGGCGTTATTATGAAATGAACCTCGAAATCCTCAAAAAAGGCTTGGTAGATAAAGATTGGGCAAATGGTTCATAGTGGCTTGGAACACTGGACGACTCGGCAAACTACTCAGAGTGGCCGAAAACATTTGGCCATTTTTTGGAATTTATTATATCTGGCACGGAGCGGGAGGAAGAGGATTTCTTTTGAAGGGCGGAGTTGCTGCAGGCAGTCAGTTAGTATTGATGTATTAGTTTTTTTTGTTATATAAAATAATCGGTTTTTGGTTTGTTTTTTCTTTAATTTTCTTCTTATTACACAAAATACTAAATTCTAAAAGCTAAATTTTTCTTTATTTTATTTTCAAAAAAAAATAATATTTTTACAAACTTTTTAAAACAAAAAAAAATATATAAATCTCTTCTTATTTTAAAACAAATTGAATAAAAATTTTTTTTTTTTAAATATAATAATAAAATCCTAAAAATAATAACCAATGATATATATATATATTTCCTATAATAATAATTATTTTTTTTGCAATTACTAATTTAAAAATAAACAATTATATAAAAAAAAATAACTTACCAAAAACCGATTATTTTATATAACAAAAAAAACTAATACATCAATAATAACTGACTGCCTACAGCAATGTACAATAAAAAATACATTTGTATTTATGGTTTATGATCTAAAAAATTTATCTTGCTATGAGGGGTTTTGTCAATAAATCGAAAATAAGGTATGCAAACCCCTCACTAAAGATTATATTATGTCATGCGTGTAGAGACAATTTTTTGAAATATTATAAAAGTGATAACTTGAAATTAGTATATTTCCAAATATTTGTTTATATTGAAGGTACTAAATATATTCTTTATTAACATAATACTTTATCAAAATAATAAAAAAAATCAACTTATCAAAATAAACGCAAATTTTTCATACCTCATAAGATAGGCAATTTCGGATGCACTTATAATCAATAAAGGACACATTTTTTATTCACCCGTCATTTTTGATGGTCTATCTGCTAGTATATAATATTAACTCACTTTATCATTACAATATATATTTATTAGGAAGTAAATTTTTTATTATATTCCATTAGAGTAGTGTCATAAATTTACCACCTCATAGTTACGGCCCTGGTGTCAATTGCAATAGAATAATATATTCTATTTACTCCTAATCTTTATTTTGATATTTTAAAATGGTCTTTTATAAATATTTTTTTAGTAAACCTTCTACTGAGAATCAAGCTACGAATTCCCAGCCCAGTACTAGTACAAATGTCAACATTCCATCGAATCCCGTTCTGAAAGCTAATGCCAATAAGAATATTATTAAGAAAAAGAAGAAGAAAGGAAATAAATGGTGAAATTATTAACCTGTAATTTACCATAATATTATAATTATTTATCAAATTTGGAATAAAAATTGCATCATTATAAAAGTTTATAAATAAGCCTTTCAAAAATATTATTCTTATGAAATTTTTTAAAATGAGAATTATTAGTTTATGTGGCCTATGTATTTTTTTTTATAGAACGACTTTTATAAATCGTGTAGGGTAAATAGTTATAACTTTTATGATCTCAGTTAGATTAATATACGATTTTATGGCGAATATAGAAAAAAAGTATTATCATTCGCCTTGAATTTATTCATAGTCTTATGAGTTTTTATTGTAGTTTGGCCGTATTTATTCGATCGTCTTTTATCTGTATTATTTATCAAACGACAAGATTATTTAAAAAAAGAAGAAAATCTTATGACCCGAATATTAGTAATAATTTTTTTAAACATTTAATAAATTAAATGTATAGTTTGGTTTTACGAAAAAATTATTAAATAAGAACTAAAAATTTATTATTATAAATGTAGTGTTAAACGGTTCATTTTGAGCCGATTTTTAAAAACGGCTAACTCAGTATTTTATCCATAAAAATATTACGCGAGCCTGAAGCTCATAGATGGTACAAACGTCTAGACATATCAGCGAAATCTGGAGGCTTAAGCATTTTTTTTCTGGCATAAATATAGGGTTAGCCCTTTTTTCAAAAGCGGCTCAAAACGAGGCGTTTAACGACACTATTATAATGTAATATATTTAAAAAAAAAATACTATTGTCATTTGTTTAGATATTAAATAAATTCAAAAAAAAATTTCTAATTTCGAGAATTATAAAAATATCGAGGGATTTGATATTGAACCTTGCGAAACCAGTTGTTTTGCTAGAATCTAATCGAACTCATTTTATTTATATGGCTATCGTACTGATCAAATTCGGATTCAATAATTTTTATGTTTTTTTTAAATTTAATATAAATTAATTATTAATTTTAAAATTGCTAACCGCGCCAATTAAAATGTAGATTGATATAATTTGTATCGCAATTTGGATTGACAAAAAAATTTAATAGAACAAGCCTCATTTCGGGAATTGGCCAATCTAAGACTGTCTACATCTTTGTGATTTTTAAGTTTTGGAATCTTATGGTGTCTTACTTTTTTTTAATCATAACTAACTTTTGTTCAAAAATTGTCAAGCTTCTACTAAAATAAATTATAAGTATAGTAAAACTAAAAGGGGATAAAGTATGGCATCAATAAAAATTATTTAACAATGGATTATTAGAAGAAACCATTAAAGATAGCGAGTTGAGTAGTTTTAATGTACCTCAGTAAAAATGCCACTTAGAGATTGAAATTATCGTTTCTCTTGCCATAGATTTAACTATTTGATAAAGAAAAAAATGATTATCCAGCTATTATTTAATATTGAATGGATTCCTATTATACTCCGGTAAAGGAGTCTAAATTAAGGTAGATCATTTTTGTGATGAAAGCAATTAGATTGTGCCCTTAAATTTTGAAAGTAAAATTAATAACTTCCATCTTGTTTGGCATACCAACCCTATGAATTCCAGATAATTCGCAATGAATTTTTGAACTTAATAATTTATATTAGTTTTTACAATTTTTATATAAAGTACTCGGTTAACAGCAAAATTGTCAACAATAGCTACGATTCAGAGGCGTCACTAGCCTTTACAATCTTAGGATACTTTAAAAAATTTTAAAATTATTTTCAAAACTTTTTTCTAGCTAATATTTTTAAAATAATCTTTTTTTTTAGTTAAAATATTTAAATTGACCTTTTTTAGCTAACATTTTGAAAATGACCTCTTTTTTAATTTTTCAGGGGGCTCAAACCCCTGCTCCCCCTATCCCATAGCGACGCTGTTGGTACAATTCAGTGGCGTAGCTAGGAATTTTTCTTAGAGGGGGTCCATACATATAAAAGCCTGGGGGCTCGGGCCTTCGGCCCTTTTTCCCGGCCCTCGGCCGGGTTAATCATACAAATTATAACCATATCTTCTATAATATATACATTTTTTAAATGTATCAATAATATGTTATTATAATTTAGTAGATTATTCTCAATGACTTTATAATAATACTATCCAGAATAATTTCATAATATCCTTTCACAAACATCAAAACTAGAAAAATATAAATATTAATGGCATTTATTTAATATAAAGTCACTTTTAAGTCTTTTGAACGTATAATCTGAAAAAAGATTTAGCTCTGGGAGGGGTCCAAACCCGAAAACCATCCCCGTAGCTACGCCACTGGTATAATTATATAAAACTTTCTTAAACATATAAAAAATAAGAATTTAAATTTTTTTAAATATATTTATTTTGTTTTTTAAATGGCATTGTTCTTTTTTGCCAATTTCAGATTCAGGAATAGGTTTTTTGAGGAATGTTACTCGGTATATAATCTTAAATAGGAAACCTTTTCGGATTAATAGTGGGATCCTATCTGGTGTTGTTAAATCCGATTAGGGTCGATTTTTATAAACTGCCCGATTAAGATATTAACCACAATAATATTAACTAAGTCTGAAGATTTTGCTTATAGTTGGCAAAAAGGTTTTAATCTGTATTTGCCAAATATTGAGGCTAACATATTATTTGCTAAAATCTTAATCTGGACTAATCCCATCCTACACAATTTAACAGCTGAAAGATTTTAAAAATCTTTTACTGGAATCCATTTTTCACTATCAAAATATAATTCTTAGATTATTATCAAGATTATATCCGACATGATTTAACAGCTAATTGATTTTAAAAATCTGTCTGTGAGATCAATTATTCTTTATTGATATTTTTAGTAAGCATGATTGAGGTAACTATTGGAGAATAGATTGAAATAGAAACAACTGAAAAATAATAATCAAAATATATAAACATAGATAAAATAAATTTACTATTACTTTATTGTATAATTTTAAAATAATAAGACATAAAAATTAAAAGGCAAAGGGTAAAAAGAAATAAATTACTTTCCGCCAAAATTAAAAAGTCCTATATTATTTACAAAATCTCAATTATACATCTTTTCCTTAGTAATCATTTACATTTTATTTCGCTCAAATGTTAAATCGTAGGATCGGATCCATCTATGAATTCAGCTTTAATAAAAAATTTAATTACGTGATAAAAGCGTTTTCGCCCTCTGGTTGTAGATACAACAGAGCTACGCTAGGTTTTCCTCAAAAATCCATCAAACTATGTAGTTAATTAAGGGGAGAAAAAATGAGGAGCCCTTCACACGTTTGTGGAAAGCCGCACGTACTTGTACGCGCAACAGTCCGAGAACTGTTGCTTAAACGTCTATAGGCTAATATAATAGACAAAAAGAAATGGGCCAAACAAAAGCCTATACCCAAGAACTGCAAAAATAATTTAATTAGTTTAAGGGTGGGTGGTGGCTAAGTTTAAGTTTAACATCTTTAATGTAAGCCTTGATAATTACTAACAATAATTGAGAATGTGTTCTTATCAATTGAAATTAGAATTTATTCATGAAAATAAGAAAAAGCTAATGGGTTTACCGCAAATTGTTTAAATAGGTGAAAATTCCAGTGAATAGGCAAAACTAGTCAGTAATAGGTTAATTACCATCCAGCAACGAACACCACACAACAAAGGTTTTTTTCCCCTCTTTTTCCAGAGAAACAAAATACTTTACGGAGTGATAGATAGATTATATAGCGAAAAAGGTCTTTGATATGGATAAAGATATGAGAGAAAGGAACTATGACGCAGAAATAGGAACCAGCTCCGTAAGTTTTAGGAAATAGAAAGTAATTGTTGGCAAGGATTAACAAAAGGCATGTTGTCTTGATTGTTATATGATAGTCTATCACTCACTGAAAGACTCTACCAACAAACATAATTACAAACTTCCCCCCCCCCCTGTCGATTGGTTTCTCCATAAATGAAATACCAAGTGGTCAAAAACTAAGGGAAAATGAGGCTATTATTATTATTATTATTATATACAATAAAAAATGGTGCGGTTCATAGCATGTTTAGAAAAGATATCAAACGCAGAAGGTTAATGTCACAATTGTTACCAGTTTTTGTGTGATAGGTAAAGGTTATAAAAAGGTTCGTTAGATACAGAGAAGAGTAAATATATATTTGGAAGGGAGTTATAAATTTTGCCAGATACTGAATATCATTCTGATTTTTTGACAAGAACTATTTTTATTTATTAAATGAATGAATGACATATTATTTTGATTAATTGCATATCTATTTTAAATAATGGTTGATGTCGATGTGACAAAAAGACTTTCGATTAAAAAACAGACTTTGGATGATGCATATGCGGCCCCAGCTAACTTTTTAGAAATCGACATAATAAATCCTATTACTAGAGGTGAAGGGAGAACAAAATATACTGATTATGAAGTTCGAATGAGGGTAAACTTAAAATTACTGTTTTTTAAAACATTCATCGCTTAGACAAATCTTCCAATTTTTAAAATAAAAGAATCAAGTGTTAGACGAAGATATAGTGATTTTGAATGGCTTCGAAATGAATTAGAGAGAGACAGTAAAGTATATATGACTATTTTTTACATTCCTGATGATTTTTTAAGATTGTAGTTCCATTACTCCCAGGGAAAGCATTAAAAAAACAATTGCCTTTTAGATCAGATGAAGGTATTTTTGAGGACAACTTTATTGATGATAGACGGAAAGGATTGGAAATATTTATTAATAAGTTGATATATTTAATTTGAATCTTTATTACACTATTATAAAGAATTGCTGGCCACCCTCTTGCTCAAAATGAAAAATGCTTACATATGTTTTTACAAGACTCTATTATTGATCGGAACTATATTCCAGGAAAAATAAGGAATCATTAAAATTCTATTTATATAACTTGTGTGCTATATGATTTTATCATTAACTTTGACCAATTTCAATTATTTTCATATTAATATAATTTTATAAAACAATCTGATCAATTATATTTTTATTTATATACATGAAATAAAGTCTCTTTTTTTAAAAAAATATTTACCTCATCTTTAATATCAAAATTTTTATTGTATATTGAAAACAATTCCTTGATATTAATCTAGTAGAATATTTATTTATAATTAATTAAGTTTTGTTGATTAAATCTAACTATATTGAGCCAATGGCTTTAAATTTTCAATATATTTGACAAAAAAGTAAATGATATTTAATTACATAAGTAGACAATTGAGTTGATTTAACCTCTTTATAGAATTGACTTATGAAAATTATTATATTAATTGTTTCATAATATAATTTATTTAGTATTTATACCAAATTCAAGACAATATTGAAAGTGAGTAATAATTATGAGTAAAATAAGTATTCAAATTTTATGTAGTAGTTCATTATTATTCCTATATTTTATAATATATAAATTAATTTCATAAATAAAATGAATGCATTATATATAAAAAATATACTAAATTTTTATCATTATATTATATATTATAATGTATGAAATATATTGCAGATATATAATAAAAACTTTATTTTTTTAAGGACTGGAACTAAATTTTTCTTGAAAATAATCAAGATTTCATTTGAGGCTGTAAAAAACATATTCTGTACACCTTTGTTGTAATTTATAGATGATAACTGTAATGCCAGCTTACTGTGTTATATACAGAGACAGATAATACAACTCTACCCCAGTTTTAGAGTAAGATGTTATATCCTGACAAATTCAATATTTTTCTGGCATGGCCAAAGTTCTTAATTTATTCTTAGGTATTGATCTAACCAGAATTTTGATTTTAAACCTGAGCCTTTCTCAAAATTGTAATTGAAACATCCAAATTAAATGCATTTTTATCATATAAAATTAAAATTAATATAATTTCCAAAGAATTCTATTTTTACAATTTTTATTTTTAAACTTGGCCTCTATAAAAAAATTTTAAATTAAGGTCCAATTTTAGGAAGGGCTATATGACACCATGCCCTTATCAATGCCAATAATGTTGTATAACGACTAGATTATAAAAAGCTAACCCAATATTTAGCCAAGAAATACTGGAGATTTTACTTGCAGATGCAGTAAGCAGGGATGTGAACTCAGATCCTGAACCCTCGTATTTTGGCTCTACCAGGACCCAGACCCTTTTTAAAAATAGAGATTCCAAGGGTTCTAGGTGTCAAAAAAAAAATATAATTTTATTTTCACTTTTTTTTCGTGAAATAATTGTTTTTTTCCGCATTTTTCTTTCCATTTCATTCCTGGACTTCCATTTTATTTAGAGAGTCCAAAATTATATATTATTTTCTGTAGTGTAGGTAATAATATTTTATTATGTAAATCTATTAATATGCTTTATAAAGAAATACCTAGATTATTTGAATTAAAACTGAAACATTGGTAATTATTTTGTAGTGCAAGTAATAATAATTTAATTTTAAAGGATGATTTATTAATGTGCAAATAGAAATACTTTGTTTATTAAAATAATTTTATTAGGTGATTATTTTGTAGTGTAAATAAGATATTTTGTTATAAACAATATTATTTTGGACAGATTTAAATTAATCAAAATTGGCAGTGTTGCAAATAGATCTTTTTGTTATTAATTATATTCTAATCTTTAAATCAATTTTGAATTTCAAATCTAAATTTAAAAAAAAATTTATTAAACAAACTTGTTGGTTAATTATAAATTTTGTTTATTTATCTTATAGTATGAAAATAAAAGATATTTTGTTAGAGTATTATAATGTAACTAAAGGGCATTCTGGTCGTAAAACCACATATTAATAAAAGGTTCACACAATGCTAACCTACTCTATTAAGGCATTCATCAAATTCTCCTCAGACATTACAATATCAATACATATTTTAAAGCAAAATTTTTCAGGTTTAAAAAAAATTACTGATACTATTAGTAAGGCAATTGGAATGTCAATTATTCCTGTTATAAGGTTAAAGACTTAGTAGTAAATGAATCGAAAAAAATAGAATAAAAAAAACAAACAATAAATTAATTTCATTAATAATTGATTTCGCAGATTTGAGAGAAATATTCTAGGAATATATATATATATATAAAGAAATAATATAATATTGAGATATTCAGCTACGAAGAAGATTAAAGAGTGCAACTTCTGAATATATAAAAAGAATGTTATTAGAAATATTAAATAAATTTCATCTTACTAAGAAATATTTATACAATTACTACAAATAATGGCGCTAATCTTGTAAAATCAATTAAATTATTAAATGAATGTTCACTGGAAGAGAAGAATGATGTAGACTATGATGGATAATTATGATGACATAATTAATTTTCAGTATAATATAGGATTTTTCCCCAAATATATATGCATTAGGTGCGCAGCCCATACTCTACAATTGGCTATTAATGATTGCCTATAATACTTTCTCTTCAAAACTATCATTGATAAAGCAAGGGATGTTTCAAAATATTTAAGAACTCCCACAATTGGAAGAATATAAAAATTAATGAAAAGGTCAATGGTAATATTAGATAGATTGTACTACACGTTGGTCCTATTTATATGATGCTACAACGATTATTAAGTTTCTGATTTTATTAGAGCACGTGAAGTCGTTTTGTCGGAAGATGATTGGTGCCAAATAAAGGACCATACTAGTGTATTAGTTCTTTTAAAAATAACAACTTTAATATTACAATCAGAACAATTATGTTTATCTGATTTTTAATAGATTAGATGCCGATTAGATTTAGAAAGATGTAATAGTCATTTTTCATACTAAATATTAGAAAACATGAAAATTCGAGAGCAAAAATATTTGCAAAACAGTGTTGTATACTCTTCTATATATTTATATCATCGATATCCAATTTATTGAATATTGAGCATAAACAGATGTCTAAAGATCATCTTAAGGATTTATGGCAATCGCAAAACTTCATTATTTATATCATTGGAAACTACGACAATACTATTCTTTGTAATGATAATAATGATAATGATCGCAATATTGTTAATCTTGAAAATTTATCTTAGATAGAGAAAAAAAAATCAAATTATCATCAGATAGATAGGAGGATAAAAAAAATACCTATTACATCTTTAATAGAAAAGTTCTCAGAAGTTTAGATAATAAATAAATTTTAAATTTTTGAGATGAAAATTCTATAATATATTCGAATTATATATCTTGTCTAGAATCGTCATGGTTATACATGCGATACAAGTACAATTTATGTATTATAAATTGTTCTATCTTTTTTAGGTAAGCGCAGAACGTGCATTTTCTTCTTTGATATATATATTGTCTTATATACATGTAAACCTCAAGCATGATATTTTAGAAGATATGATTGAGCGATTGAATCTAACATTTAAAATATAAATTATTTCATTTTAAAATATTTTATTTCTCAATTATAAATGTGTATATATGAAGTATAATAATAAAATGATTGAATAAATGTTTTATTTTCAGTCATTTTTTTTATGCTCTCGAAACCCTGATCACGAACCTTTTTTTAAATTTTATTCCTGTAACCCCACCTTGACCCTTTTTTCCCAAGTGTTCACATCCCAGGTAGAAAGGTTTGAAAGCTTGCCTAACATTTTTTGGCTAAAAAAGACCAGTCCCGATCTAAGTAAATGTTGATCAAACAAAGAGGGGAAAATAAGAATCCAAAAGTCCGCTTAAATTAGGAAAAGGTTTGATAATAGAAAAAGTCATCAAAAAAAATGTTAAATTCCTATTCAAAAAAAGAAAATCTTGATTTATTGTAAAATGTCTTTTTTTTTGGCATTACTTTAATATTATTGGTCACTTATCTTATTTTTTTTCTTCTAAATTTAGCGATCTCTTTAATTTTATGTCAATCTGTTTTTGTCATCATTTTAAGATTTTCTTATTGTTTCTTCTCATTTTTGATTGCTCTTTTCTTTTGTCCTTATATAAATAATTTATTTATTTTCACTCATCTTACTCTATTATTTTGGCATATTCATTTAACCACATTTTTTCGCCTTAAGAATTTTATGTTTTATCATTTTCTTTTCTTTTCCTTTAATTTTAACTTATAATACTTTTTTATTTATTTGACAATGAAATAATGTATATTTTTTAAAGTAAGACATAATTTATAAAAAAATAATCCAAAATGAGATTACAAAATAAGCAATAAATAATTAGGATAGGAAAACTTAATATTTTATTTAGACTACATCTTATGGTATTTGGGCTTATTTAAGAATATCATGGATTTATAATATAGATTCGATCTTATAGTATTTGGCCTTATCAAATATCTGCCTAATTTTTTAAATATATTAGTTATATTTGTGGATTGGCACTTTTTGAAATGCGTTTTTAAATAAAATTTAAAATCTAATATTTTCTTAAGCTTTCTCCACATCAACTGTGACTGGCACAGAGTGAATGTTGTGGTAAGGAAAGTATAACTTTACACTCTGATAAAACAATATATATACAATAAAAATTAAAAGAGCGGAGAAGCCCTCCATCCCAGAAGGAAGCTAGATTCCGAGTTTTTGAAAAATAATGCCAGGTATTTTTGGCAAAATGTCGCGGCACTCTTTATCAACACTGTTAATAATAAACCAAACTAAGATTATTCATAATTATTGGGTATATTTTTTTCAGCCCTTAATTCTGGTCCTCCAGGAATTCTTTTTTTTTAAATATAATATTTTGTCAAACTCACAATTACAAATAACATTATAAGAAAAAATTCAATGTGCCCCACCCCACCTTAATATTTTTAGAGCACTTAAAAGATTTATATTGGCAAGCACACATCATCCATCGATCGCCGATTTATAAGGGTTAAATTTGATTTGAAAATCTTTTAAAATTTTATTTTATATTAAATTTTTTTTTGATTATTTATGCTGTATATGTGATCAACTAAATGATATCCCTGAATGAATGCTTTATCAATCGTGATTTTATGAGAGCACTGCATGACCTGTTTTTGATAGTCTGA